GCGTCGTAATAAATTAATCATTTTTTAATAGAAGATAAATCCAGATAATCCACCTAATTTTCTTCCTTAATGACGAAGAAGATTGACGAAGATTAATTTAATCGGAAGGTCACGAACTGATCCGTCGACGTAAATACACACGATGGTCGATAAGTGTATGCTATTTACAGATGGCAAGTGTCCGGCGAAGATTGTAAAGACGGTGGTGTAATGTAACGCTGCAATGCTTCTCAAAGGGTTAAACGTCGCGGCGACATTACGGTTGCATTAATTAAAGCGGGCCAGACTTATCGCTAATGAAACTGCCGCTTGATTAAGATGCAAACGAGACGCTACTCGCGTACGCGACGCGCACGTTAGCCACACGCGCATCGGCCTGGTTCTCGTCCCGCCATCGGTCTCCCTTCCCTTGCGATTGCGAGTCCATAAATCTCAATCCGTAAACTCAAACACCGGCGGAATTGCAAATCGTAAGTAACAAACTGCGGCGCAAAGACTCGCGGCCTCACAACGAGGACGGACGGGCGGGGGTTGGTAGCCACGCTGCTCTTTGAAGCGGAGCGAGAGATCGGTAAGGTATCCCCCCTCTCCTCCCCTGAACCACACCACCATTGCCACTACCACCGCCGTCGCCGCCGCCGCCGTCAGTTCTCGTCGCCGCTACCACCCCGTCGCGCCTTTGTCAATATTAGGTTTCCCCGTGATTACGTAATAAAGTAAACGTCGTTTTAACCCCTTTAGTCGGCGCTATCGACCGCCGCTCGAATTAGTTCGGTGCAAGTCATGTAAATTAGTCCCGAGCCGTAACTCAGGGGGTGGAAATTGGGGAAGGTGGTGGCGGCGGCAGCGGCGACGGCAACGGCAACGTCGGGAGGGGAGCAAGGCAGACCTTATTGCCGGTGGCGACGGGTTAGAATGTCTGAAATATTACTCCGGCAATCGGGCTCTGTCTAGGCGCGGTCGCGGTCGCGATTAAGCGAGTTTCTTTCTCTCTGTAATGGAAGGCGTCCTTTAGGTGACGGGGTGACCAAATTGCGGGAACGGCCCTATATCTTCCTGACTGAATTATTCGCACGGGCAAACCACACAATCCACAATTCTAATCGAAGTATAATTCTAATATTTTACAAGATAAAAATGTGGATAATCCAAATGCTTATTTAATTATAACTTAAGGATGAAATCTTAATCAGTCTATTGGGTTATATTACTTTGGAAGAATGAAAACAACAATTTTGTTCCATTTCTATATTATTCACGATAAACATCACCATTTGATTCCATCGAGGAGTTCAGAAACCTTATAGATCCAATAAGACAGACTTTTCAGGAAGGACTGAGATATTATTGTGTGGGGTTTCTGCTTCTCGAACTAGAATGTTTGCGCGCTTCCGAGCTGCACGCAAGTTATCGAAACTTGTAGTGTTTCTGTGTGTAACGCCGAGTCTACATATGATAAGAATATGATAACTTGCATAACTCACTTTTAAGAAAATGCTTTATGTTCTTTTCGATATTTTCCCGATTTTTAGTTCGATTCGCTTTATAAAATGTACAAAATATTTCATTTGTTAAAAATTTAGTACCATTGTTATATTTTATAATTTGTGTTTCAACTCGCATTTTATAAAGTGCACAAAATATTACTCTATTTGTTAAAAACTGATTGGTTTTGTTATTTTTATAATCTGTAAATATTGTATTGACAATGCTGCAAGAAGATAAACTAATTCTCGCAAATCGATAAGCTACGATTTTCCAAAATACCGAGTGAAATCCTCGTTTCGTTCTACAATACGCGCGCTTTATCCGTCAATAAATTCATGATAAAGCTGAAATTACGGCCGAATGAGATATATGGGGCGTACGCAACGCGGCGTAATTCTGTAATCGATCTTGAATTATTGAGTGGAAGTAAAACTGCAGGGCGGAATATTATCGGTGAGGATTTCACCGAGGGCAGGAAGATAGAAATCGGCTTTAATTAATTTCATTATGCGCGCTCACCGCCCGATGGCCGGAAACCGACTGGCGGATGGGCGAAGAGGGACAAAGTGGGGGAGGGAAGGATGGGGGAGGGACGCAAAAATGCAACACCACCCTTTTTAATTAATAAATGTCGTTACGAGGCGGATACGCGTCTGTTACTCGGATTGATGTTATTCAAGACCGACAAGTACGCCCGCATCCCACTCTGTTCGACGTCACGTCGGAATATACGCCATTCACGCGAATAATTACGATCCGTAAATGGACGTGCGCAAATTACTTTAAAAGAACGACGAAGATAGATCGTTTCCGTACGGATATTTTCGGCCCATGCAACTTGTGACGCTCGCCGCTCGCCGTTCGTATCGCGCCGTAAATCAACGAACTTCCATAATGTATGGTCCTATAAATACCATAACCGAGGCCCGCCTGCCGATGGGCTGTATGCGGCAACATTCACCATTACCGATTTGCACGGCGCTTACGGCATCCGCAAAACCATCGTGCGCGGTCACTTTGCGCCGTTATCGACGATCGCCTTATTCGCGCGTCTACCTATAAATTCTCAGTCACGTCGCGCCCGCAACCCACGAGTGTAGCCGAGTGCGACGCAATGGATTTGCAATTTTCCCCGGGTACGACACACCCACGTAGCGAAAATTCTTCGCGCGCATCGACTGGAAAATTCAGAGGACGCGCAAAATGGGAATGCGATGCTTCGCAAACATAAAGTGCGGATGTTTAAACCACTGTGCCAATATACACTTACACTCGTCTGATATCGAACGCAATAAGTATTCATTCCATTTAATATTATTACCCACACCATAATATTATCGTATCTCCGAAAACTTCTAAAGATTTATTTTCGAAATATGTTTAATATTTTTTTTCCATCACAGCTAACTGCAAAATTATGATTTAACTTTTTGCAATCCAAATTAATTTCGATAAATAAACAGATACTAAATATTTTATTTGTATTTTAATGCCGTCAAAGTGAAATAAATGAAATAATCAATTCTTCTTGCTGTGAAAATTTTATGAAAATTGATAAAGTATAATTTGTTAATTCTGATTATACGTGCTTCGATTATTTTGAGAATTATGCAATAAATTTTTGCAAAACATGTCGAGTCCATTTCGATATGGAACTGCAAAAGGTTAAAGCATGCAAGAGAGAAAAATAGTACAAATACCAACATTAATTCTAATATTGAACAGAAAATACCGATGTTGAAACTATATTTTCGCATCGGAAGCAAGATGTCGATACTTCGAAGTATTTCTCAGTGCTTTATATAAAAGCAACGACAATTTTTCGAATAACTTCGATTCCTCGTGTGTGCGTGAGCAAAGTACGCGCCGATGATGTATCGCTTTATAACAAAGAGGATTTATCAACGTCAATTTGGCGTGCGGGAAAGTACGCGTCTTGCGGCCAGCGACCCAGTATAACGAAGAAACGAGCGGTGGTCCGGGCAGCCGGGCGGTTAATTTTACTCGCGCCGTTATCGCGCGGCGACGTTAGAACAACGAGTGGGGTTAATTAATTGCGGACCTTTTTTAATTTGTCTTGCCAGACGCCGGGATTACCGCGAAATTTTTAAACCGATACATCCAGTCGAGAAGTGGAAGCGGTAAATTGGAGATGCTTTGCCGGAATGCGAGGGGGGAATGCGGAGGGAATTTATTTAACTCGGAAAAATTTCAAGCGATGATAAAAATTAAGCGCTTTGAAAAGATTTTCAACTCACGTAGAGAGAGAGAGAGAGAGAGAGAGAGAGAGAGAGAGAGAGAGAAAGAGAGAGACATTCGCCATTCATATTATCGGAACTGTCGATTATTTTAGTCACATTACACTCTTGCGAACTTGCGCGGCGACTTGTGTGAAGAGTGCATCGGAGAAGATCCTCGAACGTCCATTATTAAGTCGCCTTAAGAAACACTTGAATCATTCTGAAAAAAAGCATGCAAGATGGGACGCAAGATTAATTGTCCCCGCTCTAAATTAAGTTATTCACTTTGTTATGGTACTTGAGCTATCGCGCGGCAAGATACATGGCGCGTGATAAAGTAGTAAGAGAGCGGAAAAGAGAACGCGCGAGGCGGTAGGATTAATGAGGGGAGGGAGGGTTTATGATCCCGTGCTTAAAATTCGTCGTACCGGCTACATGACGGCGAAGGGGTGTAAGAGTACCTGAAGAGATTTTCAAATTCGACGCGTATCTTATTCATGGTCGAGCATTCTCCGTCTAGACGTATTCATCATCCCTGTCCGCTTTTTAATGTAAAACACGGATGCTATGCCCGTGTAATCGAAATCCATCATGCGTTTTTTATAACGCTTAGCAGCAAATTCAAACCTTAATTAATTATGAAGGTTTAATCATGGATTTGGAATCATTAAATTCCTGTCTCTTTATAATTTTGCTTCGCAACTCATAAATTCATAAATTTATCATCATACCTGAAATACTTTTCGCTTAATTTTGAATATATATATATAAATATTATATATATATATATTTGAATATATATTTGCTGTAATATATAAAAATATATATTTATATTAATATTTTGCAGCATCCATTAAGTCAATAAAAACGACCGTTGAAAAAGTATGTGAACATGAGTCGACGAAATGCGACATCTAAAAACTTTTTTACCGTGTCACCGTGATTTATCTCAATATAGCGATCTTGTGGAATATTTTAATCCTTCGCGATTTTCTATGCCCCAAAGTGTAATTCTACATAGCGTAATACATATCAGTAAATTACATTCTTCTAATTTACATAAAATTTTTTAGATAACAAGAATTGATAATTATATTAAATCAAATAAATCATTTTATTCTGAAAGTGTTAAAACGAGAACAAAACACTTAACACTGTTATTTGTCGAAATTAATCTGGATCGCAAAGAGTTCTTTTTTATGAGCATTTCTTATATCTTCAAAGAATCACAGCATCGTCCGTTATTCAACCAGTGAATTAAATAATTTTCAGTCAGCCCGCTGGAAGTGAAGATAATTGGCGCGAACCAGCCGCTGTCGGCGGGCAAGAAGTACGACTTGGTCTGCGCAACTTCCGGTTCCAGGCCATCGGCCAGCGTCACCTGGTGGAGGAACGGTCAGCGCTTAGTGGAGACCAAAGAGACCGTAAGTGTGTCCCTCGACGGAACAATTTTCGTCCTTGCGCGAACATACGTTCCGCCCGACTGTTCCCGGACCGCGTATAAAGCTGAACTTGTGGTCTTAAATAAAGGAGATGCCCCTTGCACAATGTGCAGGTTATCTCATCAATCGCACTCACTTTTAACGAGAGTACCGCTTTAATATATAACCGTGTAGATAATTAATTCTGTGAAACGTATTAGTACAAAAAGCACCATTTTCTTCATCTGTGACAAAGATTAATTATTCGATCGCTATTTGTAATAGTGCGTTAAATTTTTTATTATTCTGTCGATTATTCTGAACGTAAATGTTTTTTAAAAATTAAACAAAATCATAAGCACCAAGTTTCTGGACTGTCGGGCTCGTTTTTTTAGTGTAATATATCAAAAACACATCTGTCACGTCTAAAAAAGTTTGGTCCTGTATGAATGTTTAAACTTTCAATTTTTCTCATACATTGTTTCCTCTAAAAACAATTCACAATGTAACGTAAAAAATATTAAAAGAACTAACGAGATCTTTTTTTCTATTTAATTTTTCAATTTTTTATTGAAGTGTTCATAGAAATCACGGTGTATGACCGATTATATTTTTTTCCACTTAAAATTACTGTATTTACGATCGTCTTTTGTTAACGATACTTTGGTATGGAATTAATCTCCGTATTAATGAAAGACAGATTGATCTCCCGCTTCGCCTCGAATCGTTTGTCTGATTGACATGTGTCTCCTAATTTCATCGTGGTTGGGCTGCAATTTCCACGTTCAATTTCCGCGGATTAAGCGACGGACATAGAAAAAAAAGGACTTAGGCATAGCCGATTACGTGATTGACTGCCGCTTACAATACCGTGCACGGTGCAGGGATTACGCTTAATTGATGGGAAATGCAACTATTCCTAAGTCACAATGTCGAAATGAATTTTTAACGTAACGTTAAGATAGTGCACAACACGATAATGACTGAACGGAATTAAACGAAATAAACATTCTATCAATACATAATCCGCTAAAATTGTTTACAAGTTACTTTTTTGTATACCAATTTTTTGTTTTAAATCAACATTGGCTGTCTTTTTTTATACATTGAGGATTTTAAAAAATTTTTCAATAAAACAAAATGTTTACGTTTCAGTTATGAAAAATAAAGATAAGTTAATTAACGATATAAAAATTGATTTTATCAGACCCGGAGAGTAGAAAATGCAGCGACGAAATGTTGGCTACCAATTGTTTATGGAACAATCAGAACATTTCATTTACGGCACAGAAATTCTTTTCATATCTCCTCAAATCGCGTATCGATTTACCGCGTAGAATTGAAAATGAAATGAAAAAAAAACCTAGAAACTCTCTGCGCAAAACGTGGTTACGCCATCGAATCGTGCGTATCAATAAAAAAAAAGTGTAACATTTCATCGTTATGGGATTAATCAACAGCGCCAAAGTACTATTGCGGATGTCGATAAATCTAATTAAAGCGCGAATAAAGCATATCTCGACGGAACGATTACGATAATACTTGATCTATGAGTGCGAGATCCCTTGCGCCCTTTCTCCCTTTCTCCCTTTCTCTTTCCGCCTTTCCTGCGTTCCGACACAATTCATTAATTCATTCAATTTCATTCCGCGAACGCGCAGCGAAATAAATTCCGATTTAACGTAAATCGAACGCGCTCTCTAACCGGGGCGCGGCGTTACTGTCACGAGAAACGGATGAAGGTATTTCGTATACAAAGCAAACAAACGTCAATGGAAACGCGGATTAGCGACGAAATGAAAGAACGTACTTTCGAATAAATTGACCCGTTGTCGGGCGAAATCGAGCACGGCCCGCTGTTTATTCTACTTCGATTTCCCCCGCGACATCGGTAACCCCGCCGCCACCCCGTCCGCCCACCTCCGATAAAACACACCGGGTGGTACACACGAACGCGCAAACAACGCGACGCGCGCCGTATATCCCGCCGCGTTTTGATCCGCACTTAAGACGACGACGTAAATATTTGCTGGGGGGGTAGCGGCGGCGGATTAAGAGCGGTGGTGACGACGACCGGCCGAGGAGAAAGAAAGAGGTGAAATGAAAGGCGCTCCGCGTGCGGGACAGAGAAAATATTGTTCCAAAGTCGATACTGGCGCGTTGCGCGGCGCGACACTGGAGATTGTTTCGCCGCGCTTACGTAAGAAAGTTAAACATAGAAGCGACGACGGGGAGGAAGGAAGGAATACGATGAGAGAACTGCTATAATCCACAGTGGCGTCGACCGGGAATGAGAGGCCGTTTCTCTTCTTCTTCTTCTTCTTCTTCTTCTTCTTCTTCTTCGTCTTCTTCTTCTTCTTATTTCTCTTCTTCTTGCTCTTTCCGTAATCACGCAATTCCTCGGCGAGCTCCGCGCATCATCCTTCTCCGACTGCCCGCGATTACGCATCCCCGCGTGATGGTAGGTACTTGTATACACGTAATTACCTCGTAAACGAGCTTTCGCGCGCGAGCGAAGTGTTTTTCTCCGCCGGTATCGCCCGCGGAATTACAGCAATTACGTTAATCGATCTGATCCTTCTCTCGCCGGGAACGCGCAACCGGAAATATATTTTTAATGGATAGCGCATCTCATTTCGTAATTATCTTTGCGCGGGCCACCGCGAGCGGCGTAGCTCTCGGCCACCGCCATCCGAACGAAATTAGAGCGCGCGGGCCACCCTACCTCGTTGATTTATTTCCCCGACAAGACGCGAAATTTATTATTCGCGCGCGACTGTCCTGCCGCGTTCCGCCTCGCGATTATTTTTTAATCGCGCGACAGGACGCGACGCCTCCTCGCGCGTGATTGAAGGCTCGACTGTGCGTGTCCACTTTTTCAAAATGTCACGGGAAAGTTAAAAAACCGCCCGGGATATTTCGAGGTTCTATAAAATATATTTTGCTTTATTTCGTTCGGGCGAGATGAATAATGAGGGCGATGCATTTTTCTCGGCTACCGCCTGCGCATAATTCCCATTTTATGCTAGGAGTATAATCCACGAACTCCGGTCCATTGGGCTCCGGTCCGCTGAGCGGGCTTTTGCAGAAAGTTTCGGATATTTAATTCACGGAACATGTGAAACGTGGGTTTATTACATGTAGTTCATAATCTATGAACTTGATTTTTTGTAAGCTACGGAACTTTTAAATACCGATTTTATAAAGCTGCATATCATTTTACGAATATAACGATATGTATGCGAGATGCAGAAGCGAAGCAGATGTTCTCCACTTTCCGCGATTTGCAATTTGTAAAGTTAAAAGAAATCCGCAAATGCAGATGCGAACGAATTCTCTAGAATTTATTTATTTATTTCATTGAATTAGAAATGCAAAAATGTCAGTTCTGTTACGCACTTTGGTAAAATGGCCATTCGATAAAGTGTTGAATAAAACTGCGCTTTTAACGTTAATACTGAAAAAATTAAGGAAAATGTAAATTTTACATTTTTATGTTTTTCAAGTACCTCGGAACAACCTAAAGTATTTGTTCAGACAATAGTGAGAAAAAAGAAAACAAAGCTAAAGCGAATGTTTCGAGATCGCACTGTGATAAATCGTTACAAAAATAAAACATGCTTTCACATTTGTTCTCTAATCAAAATCGACATTAAAAAAAGAGAGAGAGAGAGAGAGAGAGAGAGAGAGAGAGAGAGAGAGAGAGAGAAAATTCGTACTCTTTTCCTCATGACACGTGTTATTTGCTCAACTCTGGCAATACTATCAATCGACGGCGTCACTATTTACTGAACGCTAACTGGCAAATAACTGATTTACTGGAAAGGCGGCTTTGTCGGGTTTTTACCCACCCACGCGCGCGTCTAGCAAACCGTTCGATCGTACGAACGGACGGAGATAAATTTCGGCGACCGTATCAATGGTGAGCGAGAGGATTTAACCGGCCACTCGACATACCGGACGTCCATTAAAGGCATCGATTCGCCTTAATTGCGAGCGCGAATTCGCGGGACCGCCGCGGTGCTCTGATTTAAATTATTCGTCGCCTAACGACTAGCTTTTACCAAGGGCTCGTAGCACGCTCGGCGGCAGGAGGACGGTGGTGGTCCCGCGATAACAATAATTCACGCACCACCACCGCCAGCAACCAAGAGCACACATGTGCGCGACCGTACGCGCGGGAGAACCTTATTTTACGGTCGCTTTAAGAAGCTGTGCGAAGGTTTGCAAATTACGTTGAGTGCGCGCTCCGACGATGTAAATCGAATCGGAAGTCCCTCTCGAACGCGCGACTTTCCGCGAAGACTTCGCGCGTCTGATTTTTCACAGGCGTTTTCTCCGCCTCTGAATGAGTTCCGATTCAATGAACTCCGAAGAACGAATCAACTGTCAGCGTCAACGACGGTTTTGAATCGACGTGAAATTATCACATCTATAAGTATATAATTTTTACTGTCACTGTAAATACGAAAATCTTTTCACGATTTTTAGTTCACGAAGGAAAATAAAATGTGAAAGAAAAAAATGTTAAATCGTCAACTCAGACTTTTGAAAAGCAAAGAAACAGCAAATTTTAAAGCGTCGTAAGAATAAAATTCAAACTTATTCCAAATTGAGAATTATAGATGAGTACTTTAAAAAATGTAATTCTTTAAGAGCAAAATTGAATGATGAAGTTACACGCTAAAAAATTGTATCACCCATATGTGTATCATTATCCGTATTACTTTTAAAGTTTCACTACACGTAGTGTAAAGTTTCTTACTTGTGATAGATGTGTTTTTAATGTTAGATGAAGAAAACGAGCGAATGTACTTGATATAGACAAACCTCAAAAAATAAAAAAAGCATTCTTTTATCTACTGCGTTCGCGCACTCTCGCTAATGCGATCGCGTAAGTCGCGGAAATCAATCAGACGTACACTGAATAATGCAGTGAAACCTGACGTAATGATACGATTTCGAAAAACGATAAAAGCCACTTCTTCATTGTCAGAAAATAGGCTGATCCTTCGAGTGGGGTAACGATAGATTGATCGACAATTTCGACTACAGTTAACGTCGACACTCCAGCTAGAGTGATAGATACGCTTTTAATATATGGGAAGTGAACACATCAGCGTTATCGACACAGATGGCAGAAGCAGGCCGGTCGATCGTTAGCGATAAAGAGAAAGACAATATGGGCGATGTAACGTGAGCGAAGGGACCGCGATGCACGTTATCATAATGTTGTTACAGACCTCTGAGGATGGCAACACGACCACCAGCATTTTATCTTTCATGGCGACGAAGGCGGACGCCGGCAGACACTTGTCGTGTCAAGCTGAAAATCGGGACTTGGGGACCGCGGCGATAGAGGACGACTGGATACTCCAGATACAATGTAAGCTCATAAACGACGGCGACGTCTCGTCGGCACTCGTTTCCCCCCACGGAGGGATACGCGCGCGTGCGAACGCCCGACGCTCTTTTCTTATTTATTCAGAGCGAGAATTCTCGGTCGATTTTGAGCTTATCGAAGATCATGATTCGCAGACACGCCGGAGACGCAGATCCAGCTCGGCACGTCGCTGAATCCGAACACCATACGCGAGGGCACGGACGTCTACTTCGACTGCCTCATACAGGCCGAACCGGCGGTTTACAAGGTGGAATGGCGACATCAGGTGAGCGAGAACTCAGTTTGATTCCGGATAAAAGTAGAAACGTAATGTTATTTTATAGAGACGTGCCCGATATTTCCGTTTGAATGAAATTCGATACGCGGACATTCGGTCGTTTCGAATCATTGTAAAATTTTGATGAGATCTAAAAGCGTACCTGATCCATTTTCAGAATCATGCGCACACGATTTTGAAACAATATTATATAAAAATAAGTTATACAGTCAGCAGCTTGTTAAAAGCACGAAACTTTGCATTTTAACTAAATTTATTCAAAAAATTATCATTCACACACAGTACAAGAGATAAATATCTCTCATAAATCATTTATTTATTTAAGCATCTACATTATTTAAAATCGCAAATTTTGGGAAAATGCGCACGATTAAAAAATAACAGGACATTTCGGAAAGCTTCGTTTGTAAACATCGCTTTATCTCGCATCGCTGCGATTGTCATTAATCAATCTCGGAAGTGCGCGTGAGAATGTTCGTCGCGAGTAATTCGTTCATACCGCGCGCCGTGGAAAGTTCTGAAACCTTGGGTGTCGTAAACAGATTGGTCTCTTGCCGGCTAACAAGCTTGATTATGCCTGTAACTCGCTCGCACACGCCGCGCGTCGAAAGCATCGACTTACATTAAGGCCGAATACAAACTTCGACACTTGAAAAAACATTAAACTTTTATAATAACTTTCCGTCAACCTTGCCGCGAGCACACACCTCATTCGCTCTCGACGAGCCGGGGACTAGTGTGTGACTAGATTCTCATTCACATATACACGCACGCGCACCCGCACGAGAAATTATCCTCGCATCCCGACGAGGCTAGGCGGTTCAATCTACTCGGCGAGAGGAGCGCCAATTACCGTGTTTCTTCCAGAGCAAGGCACTCCATCACAACATCACGCAGGGAATCATAATCAGCAACCAGAGCCTGGTGCTGCAGGGGGTCGATCGCAAGAGCGCCGGCAATTACACTTGCGTGGGATATAACACCGAGGGCGACGGCGAGAGCTCGCCCTTTTACCTGAACGTAATGTGTACGTATCTTTCTCTATAGCGCCAGTAGTGAGGCACTGAATAGGTCAGACGCCTCAGTGAAAGAGGATTTATATTCACATACAGAGAATTTATGTCCGAGAACTAAGAAATGTGAATTGAGGGAGTGTATTAAATTAATCCTGGCATTAAGCACGATTAAATTATTTAGTATTCCCTCACGTATTAATCGTGCAGTAACGCTTTTAACAATTAACAAACAAAAAATTCAATACTTTTCGTGTCTCTCGACGTATAATGAAACATATAATCGGATTCTCATAGATTAATTTGTTGTTAAACGAATTATTAAATCCTGATTGATATTGATTAAATCCTCTCGATGACAATTAGATAATTGTTCCATTTATGCATCACGCTAAGAACTGGAATAACGGAGGCAGCGATATCGACGCAACGCAACAGAAACGTACATATATACAGTTCGGTCGATCGGCTTTAATTAATAATAGATTATAATTCCCCGCGCAAAGATTCAGTCCCATAAATTCCCACTGTGAAATTTTAATTCCGGGCTTACGTGCGTGCGTACGTCTGAACGTCCCTCGTGAATTGCGTGTATATCTAGATCGCTCGAACTGTTTGCCCGTTTTACGCGTGCAGATTATCGGATACGATATCGAAATATTTCGGATTGCAATAGTTTTGTTAATCAATATTTGAATTTATTCGGGAATGCCAAATGTGTTGGTTCACTATGGAACGCAAAACTCAATATAGCAAGGCTGATATTCGCATATTTAATGTAGAAATTTGCTGCTAAAAATTACAATGAGCACATCATTAACATAATAATACCGGTATAACCGACCATGAAAAAGATAATTATAAGGATTTAAAAAATTTGAAGAATTACTTAATTAATTTATTTAATTACAGAATTATGTAACACTGAAAATTAATTTATTTGGCCATTTATGAAGAAGAGAAGTAATACTAAATATTGACGAATTTCAGGGTGAATTTTTATGCTTCAATTTTAATTTAGCTACTTTATTATAGAGTTATTTCACGTTGAAATTAAATTATCTATGTAAATTAAGCTTTATTCGTTTAAATGAGCGACGGAGAACATCTCTTTTCACGTAATATTTCACGAGAATATTTGAAAAATATAATTTACGGCTGAATCATCAAGATATTAAATTTCAAAAATTTTTATTTTCTCCCATTGAATTTTCAATAAAAGAGGTAATTCTAATTTGTTAGAAAACCTGATAAAATTAAAAATTAAACATAACGAGCAAACATATTGCATATCTTATTTACTAATCAAATCAAGTTCCGTAACAAACTTTGACGTAAAATGAATGATGAATAACTTGATGAGAATTCATGACAGACCGCGACATATGGACAAATTACACACCATTAAATATATTTAACAGTAGTATAAGGAAATCCATGAGCCGCGCTGCATGAAGATATCTTGCGCGTTTGCCCGTCTCAATTATTTATCGGCACCGTTCATCTTTCGTGCTCGCAGTCGCTCCCACGTGCAAGCCAAATCAGACAAAGGTCCACGGCGTGGCAAAGCAAGAGAAAGCGAATATATCCTGCCAAGTGGATGCAAATCCACCGGAAGTGCAATTCCGCTGGACCTTCAATAACTCCGCCGAGAGTATCGACGTTGCGGCTGGTCACATCGCGCGAGCTGGCACATCCTCCATCGTCTCGTATACGCCAATGACGGAATTAGATTACGGCACGTTGCTCTGCTGGGCCAGCAATCACATCGGGCAACAACAAGTGCCCTGTGTCTATCACATTATACCAGCGGGTAAGGTATCCGCATTCGTATTCGCATCGTGATATTCGCGAAAATACAAACTGACTGGCTCTCTCGAAACGTAGTGTGAATTTCGATCATGAAAACCGACTGTCACAACAAGATTGCGATATGCGATAAAGTTGTACAAAATATAAATGTCTTTTAAAGTGTACTTTAAAATATTTATTTTTACAAACTCAATTTAATTCTTTTATAATTTATGATTGGCTCTTATGCAAATTGAAATTAGTAGATCAAGATAGAAAATGTTCAGACTCCTCAAACATTAAGAATTTATCTGCTGCTACGTGATGAATTTTCTATATTTAATTAGCCTATATCGAATTACCTTGTTTTTTGCAAATTGCTGAAACTAATAATAAAACTAATAGTTTTCATTTGAGAGATTTAACTCTTTCAGGAATTGCAATTTTATGCTAATTTAAAATCCGGATTTTGTTCCTTAGTTTCCAAAGTTTCATATTTGCGTAATTGAATAACTAATTCCAATCTTGGTATAAAATTAAAAAGATGTCTGACGTTTTATTAGAGAGAGAGAGAGAGAGAGAGAGAGATTTATTCAATTACGCGAAACTCCGAAAACTTGTAATTATAATCAGTTCCAATTAGTATTATTATAATAATGATATAAATTAACTGCGGCATTCTTGCAGTCACGAATTACTTCCGTGAAGTCCGCGATGTAGACAGAATATAAGAAATTTTACTATAGCATCGCATCTCTTCTCCCAGAGAGAATTTGTTGTTATTATTTCTTTATTTGCCGTGCGAATTATTATTGTGAATCTGATATCGTTGCGTTTTGTTTTAAAATTTGACTTAGAAAATCCACGCGAGTCCGGTAGATCTGTATCATTGATATTCCCATTATCCCAACAGCCGTATTTCCGCCGTATCGATGCTCGAGTTACCAATTAATTACGATTCGCGGATCGTGCTATCGGATTGCTCTAATGCAAAGAAAACGCGCGTGCACCGCGTATACAGGAACGTGCATTTCGACGCGTATAAAAGAAAACAGCTTTTGCCTTTCCCATCATCGCGCGCTGCCGCAAAAAGCGATCCGACGTAGGCAGATAAAAACCAGGCACCGCGAAATGGTAGCAGGTGTCCGGCTATGATTTTTCAGCAACCATAAACGCGAGAACAACTCTCGGCGTATTTCCGCTTATTTCCTTTTCTTTATTTCGTCCCCCGCGACGCGGCGCGCCCGTATTCCCCCCCCCCCCGTTCTCATCTCGTTCGCGCCCTTTTAGTCGGCTTTTACGAGCCGCAAAGTGTACCGCCGCGGCTAATACCCTTACAGGAAAAACCAGACAACCGTATATATCTTTACAGCCGACTCGGTTACAAGTGGCTTGTATGCGCCAGCACACCGTGAACCGGATTTACAGAGCGACTATCACGCCCTGATTCGCGAATCTACCGCACACATGAAACGATACGTCGCGTAATCACCGCCCCTTCATCGTCTGTATGGGACTATACATCATTTCAGGCGAGAAAAGAAACGCGGCATTGGAAGTTGGAGTAACTTTCTTAACACGCTAACGCCGAAGAGTTACCGTTCTACTTATATAATTAGTTTCATTGAAAATTTAGCGCACTTTGATATAGAGAAAAAGCAAGGATACATTTCTGAAACGTTATAAAATTATATCACGTTTAAATTTACATTTTTTTCCGACTCTTCAAATATCAACGAGACTCGGAATTTTTCACAATTTAACTTATCACATTTTTTTTAATATACAAATATGATTTTTATTAAACATATATTTAACAGAGCGAGCCAAACATCCCATGAATGTACGATGAGCATACGCGTGTTTTTCGAAATATGAAGCTGAATATAAAAACTAAATAGAGCAAGCAAAAAAAATTGTGTTACACTTTTAATTTAATCTGAACGCGAAGTTATGTCAGTAATCTTAAGAGGCTTTGGTCATTGTGTTGACAAAACAAAAATATTTCTAACGGTATTTCTGGCTTTAATTCGTTTATTTCTGCAATTCATCCGACTACTGTGGAATGAAAGCAGACAAATATTTCAATCTAGATCTGTCAAAGCTTTCAAATAACGAGTTATTTAAAGCATTGAATCAAATTTTCAAACCGGTAGTTATTCCATAAAAAATAAAGACTGATGTAACCGTCAAAATTATCGATGTCTCCAATTTATGTGTCTCAACATACAAATCGATCTGATTCCTCTTCTTCTTTTTTTCGTCGTTTTTTTCCATTACATCATTTTTTTTCTTTTATCATCCCTCTTATCTAGTGTGATATTTCCGGCGAGAAGACACATCAGTTGTCGTAAAAGCATTGTAGGGCGCACTTGGAGAACTCAAAGGCCGCCCTCACGATATTATCGCAACTTCACTTCGTGTTCATTACGAGCTGTTACGAGCGCGCGAATAGTTTCGTGCACGCGGCGCATTTTAAAACGCAGGCGTACCTTATCCGTGACAGGTCGGCCGGACATGGTTCACAATTGCACGACCTCGAACACGTCGACCAATTCGTTCTCCGTGCGATGTGCCGAGGGCTTCAACGGCGGCCTGCCGCAGTCCTTTCTGTTGGAAGTGCGCGAGAGCAACAGTCAGGAGTTGCGTGCCAATTTGACGTCGTCGGTGCCACGCTTCAGCGTTACACACCTGGAGTCCGGCGCTCTTTACCAAGCCTGCATTTACGCTTACAACGACAAAGGTCGCAGCGAGGCGATGGTGGTGCAGGCCGGCACGCTCAGACTGCCAGAGAAACAATTGACCTCCGAGTCGGGTGAGTGCGAATTTTTCTATTTCCTCTCTCTAAACTCGAGGGCACAATAACGCTAATATTTTCACGTTAAAAATCGGATATGTCGATGGTGTATGAAAAATATACCGTATCGATTCTAATATGTATATTTCAATACATTATGCATTCGAGTAAATTGATATTCGGTTGATACTCGCAAAAATCCTTGCGAAACTTGCTACAGCACTTGCTACGTTAACAACTCCAAAGCCTTTGACATCTTTTGAACAAGCTCCGGTACTTGGTTTGCTTGAAAGTTCCAAGAAAGTATAGACTCGAGAGCTATCACTCTATCTGGTATCCTACATAAATGGTTCTCAAACTTTCTTGCTTATGACACAAAATTCTTTACCATAGAAGATCATATCGTCTTTTGGGGAGAAAATTGGCATAACTCTCCGAAAAGAAAAGTTAATTTTCTCAAAAATAAAATTGTAAAATGTTATTTATCTTATAAAACTACGGAGAAAGATTAACGGAGAAAATTTCATTTATAATAATAATGTGAAAAACTGCAAATTAAACAAGTGTAATTTTCATTTTCTAAACATTTTTTTCCCCCTTTTTTTAGTCTTTTCAATAATTTTCAGTAATTCTCGTGAGTCGTGACGCTTTTATTTCACGATGTCTACATGTGTTTGAAGTTATTTGACATGCATAATCTCAAAAGCCTCTACGTGAGATTTGGATAATTATACAGAAAACTTTCACATCGATGAAAGAGCGCGAATGAAGAGCCACTACCAATTTGTCGGATGATGAAAAGCTATCGACTCAATATTAATTCGCCGAGTGAGCCACGTAAAAAGCTCCGAGCGCTTTTATGACCGCACAGAAAATCAGGAATTGGCGATTTAATACTGCTGAACGATTTTCCCGTTGTTTGCCCGACGCGATATATTGTTATCGTAATTTTTAATTCGTCTATTGCCGATTGGGGATCACGCTTTATATCTCTATTAAAATAGAATGTATTTCGTTGTGATTTATATTTAGCATTTCAACGGGATACACGAATAAGTCGAGCATGACTTCCACACGTGCAATGCTTTTTATTCCTCTAAAAACGATGCTTGTAACGTCATGCATGATATATTATTTTATAACATCAAATAAGCTGCGATGATGTTAGTACATCACGTAATCCATTAAATTTTCGATATCGCGTCAAGATATTAAAGCGCTTAAAAGCATTTTTATAGAAATTTATTTATGTTAAAATATAATGATTGAAAATTGCGTAAAATTATCACTAAGCTGTTCGCGACTAGACGGTTCTACGATCAATGTCGACGGTTTCTAATCATCCATTTTTCACTTGTTGATGTTGCAGAACGACCAAGGCAACACGTCAGACTGACACCGATGCTGAGCGTGATGATCGGCGTGGTGACGGCTCTCATCATCGTCGCTATTATTGTGATGGTTGTCTTACGGATTCAGCACTCGCATGTAGAGGAGCAACACAAATCCCAGATGGAGGATCACGCGAAGCAGACGAAAGCCGTCCCTATACAAAGGGAGTTACGATTCCGAGAGGGATGTAGTCTGCTCGCAGATGAGAAGCATCCCAGCAGCCCGTTCAGAAAGTTAGACACCAGCGGTGATCTCAGCGAAAGCGACGAGAAGAATCCGGATATCATTCCGCAGCAGATCACTGGTTCGTATCTTTGCGGTACGCAATTCGCGCTAACAATTCTATTAATTTCGAATTCGGCAAAATTATAAAATGAGCTTGAAATTATATTGCAATGTAAAATATAATAAAATATAATAAAATACGAGAAAAATATGGCAAAATTCATTAGTGCGATAAAATATTGAAAGCTTTAATTCTCTCAAATGTGAAATTTGTCTGGAAAATTCTTTATTATTAAAAAAGTAATCGTGATAAAAAATTTTTTGAAAATTATATGAATATACTATTTATGCAAATCTTTAAAGGTTTTCTAAAAATATATTTTCTTTAGGATTGAAGTAAAATCTTCTGATAAAACGCCTCTATTCAGCCCTTTACGTGGTTATAAATTTTCTTTCTTTCGCACATTCCCTCGTTCCCATTTACGCGCTCATAAAACTCTGTGGCGAAATTTTCGGTTGTAAAACACCAGTGAAATTTTTCTGTAGGTGACGAACCATCAGAATACTTAAGGAAGAGACGTCTGGTGTCTACGATCGAGACATCACCATCGAGAAGCCTTCTGGAACACTCGACGGTGACTTCCATCAGCGGACACAGCAGTTACGTCGGTTACTGCACAATTCGCAACGGCATGCCACTGCACGAATTCTCGAACTTGTCAACGAAGCATAAAAGCGTGAGTTCCATTGTAAACTAAATAACGTAAATGTCGTGCAAATATTTCATGCATGTTTAGCGAAATAACAGTAGCTTATAACTAATACGTGTCATTTTGTATTACGCATTTTACGCGGTTATTCAGAATTAACTGATTATCTAAACATCTCTTTGCAATAATTACCGATTACGTTAAAATCATTTGAATAAATAATAAATCTAGATTAATTATGAAACAAGTGGGTTTACATTAATAATATAATAAATACATTTTGACGATTAAAGAAAGAAATAAATTATTGAACAAGATTCAAGTTGCGCGTCGGGATATAATATTTGATGGCCTAAGTACGTTACTTCATGTTGCTATAACGAAAATCATGAGTGACATGTTTCAGTTTCAGCCGATGGTGGGCGATGTCTACGAGAGTGGCGTTTGCACCCTGCCGAGGCAACACTGGCCCAGCCAGAGCGTTCAATCGATGTCGATGACAATGAGCCCTCCTATGCTGTACACCGGTTTGGGTGTCGTCGCCAGGACTTGTCCGAGCGGCACGCTTCTGACGAAGGATTGCGAAACACGGGTGCCTGCCCAGTGCTGTCCAGCGGTCCAACAGTCGCAGAAAGAAGCGACGATAGGCACACCGGTGGTGATGGCCAAGCGGGAGAGCTCCGTGTGACCCTACACCCACCACGGGGCCTGCACTTGCAGCGTGAGCGATCTGCTGTGAATCACGCCGTTGTCAATCGCGAGATAGCCGTGAGTCCCGAACGACACAAAAGAATCATGTAGGAAGCGTTTATAGTTTGCGCGGAGATTAAAACACGTCTTTTGGAAGGCTGAAGGAAGTTTCTTTTAGACCTCTAAAGGATGTTCGCGTGAGTAAGATATCTATTATTATCCAAGTGTGAAAATTATAGCGTCTATGAAATCGAGATTCAATGTAAGATATTCTTTCGAACGTTTGTGTTGTCCGGGACGGGCGCGTGCCGGTACGAGTTCGACGGGTTTACATTTCCATTCCGACAAAGCGTCACGATTTTGCGTCTCTCTGTTGAATCAAGTGCCCTTTTTACACTGAAGAAGGACGAACATCCCGACCGGCTGCTCCGCCGGCTTTTCTCACCTCGTACGTAGTTTCGTGACCGAGCCCCGGTGGAACCTCGACGAGCTCCTCATATGGATAAAGAGTGAGTTTTACGACGTGTGTGCGAGCGAGCTCGCGCGGTCTCGCCCGCCGCACGTACACTCCCTGTACATACCTCGAGACGCGGAAGATATTTTGTACAAGTCGCGTTATATTAACGATTCCATTCCCACTTTTACTATGAACGCAACACACACACTGTACAATTTGTCTAGTCGATGTAAGTATAAATATGTATATGCGTTAAGTCGTCGGGGAAGCGCCAGACCAGAATAACGTATACTGAAGGGGGATGATCATCACCGCCGCGTCACGCTGTGCGCGTCGTAATTATTTACAACGCCGACAACGCGTAAACAGGAGCGGCGGGAGCGGTAGAGAGAACGGGAGAATCGGAAAAGTTGTCAGAGACATATCGTTTGTATCTCCATCCATAGGAGTCGAGTCAGACGAGAAGGGCGTTACAGCGAAGATCACGAGAGCGGTGGAGTAATGAGACAAAAAAGAAAGAAGGAAGAAAAAGGAATAGATAAACATCCCCATCGCGCTTTCGTCAGTCTGCAGTATTCTGGATTTCACCGTAAGATTAAGTATCTCTTGTACAATGTATAAAGTAACGACTTCCTTCGAAGTAAATGTACCGAGTATGATGAACGTTGTTTTTCAAAGTCTTGAATCTTACTCTATAGAAGAGGGGACGCGGCCTGATTAACGCGGCGCGTCCCTGAAAACGTGTGGTAATCGCGATAGTACTTCTAACTTACTGCCTGTTTCGACGCTTGTGAATCTCGTTGGTACTTCATTCGGCAGAGGCTACCGCTTATAGTCTCTTTGTATTATATAGCTTTAAAAAAAAAAGAAGAAGGTCGCCGAATGGCGCCTCGTCATATCCTCCGTACGATACAGGGATAATCTTGTTGTCGATTAGAGCAACCCGCGAGGCGCATTCCGCCATCGGGTTGCTAATCCGCGAGGGATAAGATGAAAATTTGACGTGTAGCTTGACCCCTTGACATCGAGCAGTCGACTGCTGGGCGGTTTGCGTTTAAGGTATATCACGCACGTCAACAAAAAATCTCTCCCTTTCGCGAGAAGTGATAATCCGTATTTTGCTTCGATCTGTACAGATTGATTTTCGCGTATAGGATCAACGTCCCGAGCACGCGACGATCCTGCTGCGACTGCAAGGATTCACGTGAGAAATAGAACGTACTCTATGGCTGTGTGCATAATGTGAGAGAAAAAAAGAAGAGAGAGAGAGAAATATGTCTTTTGATGTTCACGTATTATATTTAAATAAGATTGATGCTAGTATAACTAATCGTTCTAGAGTTCGATAATATAATCGTAATTAACCTACCGATGAAACGATTGATGCTACTATATTGCATATTATTTTTGCCTTTACATTGCATTGCTCGTTGTGAAGCAGCAGCATCGATATGTATCTAAAAAAGAAATAGGACACAGAAACTCAAAGCAAAATTCTTTCAAGCACAGCCTCGGAAAGCGCAAAAACTCGTCTATATCGCAGAATCAATTTCACATCTCGGTTGTTAAACGCGCTAATTGACTCTTTGTTGTCAGATTTAATCTTTAGTCACAATTTGGTTTCTGGTCTGCTCTTTCGACGCGGCAACGTTACTGAAATCGGAAAGCTTTGCTGAAGCAGCGCCGTATTTGTCTATCAGATCGGAAACTTCGCGGTGAATCGACCATAGACGGAATGTAGGTTGTGACTGTTTGCAGTCGCGTCGTCGTTGCGGTCTGTTATAAATGTGCATACAAACGAATAAGCGAAAGAGACAGTCCTACACGAACGAAGCACACGCGTCCGCGTTTCCCATCCATTGAAGGAAATGACGGACGATTCGGAGATACTTAGCGAATTACTCGATGTGTAAAGAACGGCCAAGTCGCCGTAATGTCTCGAGAATTTCTCGGCGAACGCATCGTTTCCCCGATTGCTTGAACGTTAAATGACGTCGCTCCCGAGGGATCTGACTATTAAAAAATGAGGTTAAATCGTTGATGATGATTATTATTATTATTATTATTGCCATTAATGGAATTGATGTCGGAACATTGTGAGTGTACATTGTCGAAGAGAATTTTAGTAATCGTTGAAACGCAAGCCGATTACGCATTCCTCTCCCTCTCCCCCTTGTTATAAAACTTTTGCACACATAGAGACTGTAACTGTATGCAGTATAAGCAATGTTACAAGAGGTATCCTGCGATCCGATGAGAAAGAAACGACACGAGAAAAACGAACCGTACAATAAAACCCTGGATTCAACTGCCAAAGTTTCTATTCTTTATTCGTGTGTGCGAGAGTGTGTATGCGTGTGTGTATGTGTGTGTGTGTACGTGTGTGATCATTATACGCGCACTATAGTATAAAAATTGTGGTGTGACTTTTTAATAAACGGTAACAGATTTTTTCTAACAAAACCACAGCGGTCTGAGGATTTTTTTATTTTATTTCACTTGCATTCGATAGTTAAATCTGAGAAAACAACTCACCGTTTTCTCATATTTCGCTGGCGAAATTGTTCATTTCCGCAGCACATTTCTATTTTTCACTGTTCCGCATGGCACGAAACCTTTCGACGGCCGTGCTCATCGAACACGTCGCGTGGTATGATATCGCAGGGCGGTGGCCAGACGTTATTGTCTGTAAGATAATCACATGTATCAGCAAAAGCACTGAGAAAGGATTCTCGATCGCACGTAATTCACAAAGATAATTTAGCGAAAATGCGAACATTCCGCATGCCGGTCGCACCCGCCTCGTCTTCGTGTAACACGAGAAATAGAACACACACCAAGGAATTATCATTTCTTAGAATAAAAATACATCACAGCATCGTTCCATGCGCGTTTTACCACCTGTATATCGTAAATAACGAGATCGGATCTGACCAGCCGCCGCTTGTGCGAAATGACATTGAAGTTTGTATATGTACTTAGTTTAGAACACTATTTCCGACACACACGAGTCTCATGTACCCTCATACCAGAACGTTTTTTTGATATTGTAAATATTCTGAAATAAATAATCGTTTTTATTCACGCGAGACGCATTATTGAGTCCCCCCTGCTCTGATCTTCGCTCAAAAATCGACGATGAAGCAGCGCGTTGATGATTAAATTTGCTAATATTTAACATTAATACTACGTTTATTGTGTTTTTTTTTACGCATATAATTATTATTACCGTCCCAAAACGTGCTCGGTGACATGTCGGAATACATTTGTAGATGGTCCTCGACGGTCTTCAGAACAGGCGATTTCACGTTCAGGAGAAACTCGAGAACCGTGCTTTCAGGGAGATACCGGGCCGCCTTATCTCCCAAGTTCTGCAGCACGTCTTGAACGTCGATCGACTGTAAAATCGAGTAAAACTGCGTCACAAAATAAAACGAAAGAAGTTCCAAGCTTTATTCAATATCAAATTCGGGACGCTGTGAGCAATTCTTTGAAGTTTCGCTACAGTTCCGTTTGATGCTGCTTGAATTTTTTCTTTTAGATTTCCGCTAGTTGAATTTATCTCTTTTGGATTTCTGCAAAATTGCAAACCTTTTCACACGTTATATTTGCTATGTATTCGCACAACGCGTAGATTTTTATTAAGCAATTCGAGACTTCCTTCTGAATGTCGTCCAATGTACGGCCTTTTAAGGTCTCGGGCAACGTGGGTGGTATCGTGTAGGCGTGACACCATCCCGCGAAAAACCTCTGAAAATGCAATATATGTATGCAGAGTCGTTCTTATGTACATACATGCATCACAAATCAGGCCACCGACTTGATGAACGTGATGATACGAAGGTAAAGGAATCGCTTTACCGAATTTACATTTATCGTCCTGCATGGTGTACACAAGCTCGTAATGCTTATAAATGATGTCTTCCCATGCCTGTCAAAAGAACGAAATTCTGTGGTTCAATGCGTGCATTTTCTCGCTTTACAGATATCTTTGAAAAATAAATAACAAATAAATAAGAATCGATGTAATTGTGCTTACGAAAAAAGCAATTTATAAAATTCGATATCCAATTAATAATAGATGATGATTTATTTTTATATTTCTACATAGTGCACGTGTTATATAATACAGCGATTGGATACTAAAATACCTCTAACACATGTATATAACATGTTGGATAAACAAGAAACAAGCCTGTAATGGACATATCGCTGTAATCCATGCATAATTCATGTATAATATCTTCCATTTTCTACAAAATAAATTATTTGGAGGAAATTAAATTCAATTGTAACATTTAATGAGAATTTCGATCAATACTGCTTTATGAAAATATTATTTCTGTGCAGCGCAAAATTATCTTTAAATTTCGCTCGCTATATTTTCGTTATACACGTAAAATTACGATCGATATCTTTCAGAACTTAATAAATCGTGTTAGTATAATAGTTTTTGGAGATTACTGTATTCGCAATTGCAAAACTCTAAGTTAAGATACGACGCATGTCGGTGATTTACGGTAAAATCTACCTTTCGCAAAACTTCATGAGTTCCACGATATTCTCCGAAGTAAGCAACTCGCGTAACGTAAGTTTTCTAAAAAGAGAATGCGACGTATATTTGCTACATATATAACTTAAGCTACTCAAGGGAAAAACTATAAAACTTGGTAAATCCTTAATATTACTTCGCCGTGCATTTATATATTGCATTTAAATAAAGAAATATACTATTCTTTTTTTAATTACAAGTATGGTTTTATCTTACAAATAACTTCTTTTACATGCAAATTTTTAACGCAATATCATTTTGATATTATTGTTATAAAGTTTTCAATTAAGATATACTAGAAACAATGAAATATTACAACGATACTTACACGATTTACAGCGCGAAGATTGTCTTGCACCACATCTAAAATACTTCTTCTTATCGGTTCGGTTATGTTATTCATATTAATTCTCCGAAGATTAATTACGCACTAAGTATACGCTGATAAAACTCGGTTACTTTTAACTTAAAATTGTAAATTTTTCTTCTGTATGAGAGCAGAAAATATATGTAATTTCTTCGTAGCTGCGTATTTTATACACGACTCCGGCGTGCATTGTAAAATAACACAATGGAAGAGCAATCTGAATGCATCAAAAGAATTCCTCCTGAACGTGAATGTTTTGCTTTGAAGCTACCGTCATTTATTGCACATGTAGTTTCACATATGTAGCAGATAAGGAAAACACACATTGAAATTGATGAAACCATTCATGTTCATTTCATTTTAAGTTTGTTTATCAGCTGTGCGCACAATATTTAATATGTAAAGGTATATATAGAAAAGAAACATGTTCTATTAACTAAATATTTTTATTTTTATTATTTATAAGTACCACGTATTCTTCAAAAAAAAGAATGCTTTATAAGCTATGTAAAAGTGTATCATGTTTACATAATTTTATATTCTATAGTATTTGTATAGCCAGCTAACGATGTCCCCGGATGAAAGGCAATCGGTGTAAATAATAATTCTCAAAAATAGAAACAATATCAAGTAAAATAGCTAAGTAATCGGAGAAGACCTCTAAAAATATATTTATCAAAAAATTCTACTTTGATAGAATGCTCTCACAAATTCGAGATCCTGTAAAGGAATTCAATTTTAAAATATCGATAAAAAAATAAAATTCTAAAAAAATATAAGATATTTCAATTTCAACCCAACTCATGCATTCATACATTATACAGTTCTTATAAAAGAGCAACTATCACAATCGGTTTATCGATATGCAACCACAGAATTACTATGAAAGACTAATCGATTAAACTATGAAAAACAATTTCGCATGCAAGTATATTGAATTATGCGTTATCACAATCGATTAAAAATCAAAATCGACATATCGCATTTATTTTAGAATAATACTAAATCACATTGCTAAGTCGCGGACGATCGTTCCTAATTATTTCTTTGTTACGATCGGTGGCGGTGGCGGCGTCGGTTCGCTGGGATTACCGAGCCACACAGATTTACTAAAGCGTCCCTTTATAACGGGCGGTTGCCACTTATTATTGCACACAGTGGTAGCTATCGGCTTCTCCGCCGTAACTGTGGCTACGCTTACGACCCTGAAATGGTAACAAAGATTATTTAATAGCGCACGAATAAAAAACATCGCGTGCTAATTAAATAAAATCGTTTGCAAAATATGGCACAACAATAAGAAAAAATTATCAAAAACAACTATTGAAATAAACGAATTAAATTGAAATAAATAAATCAGACAAATTTTGACAGAACGAGGGAGGAGAAAATGAAAAGGTATTCGTGATGCAGAAACAGCGTTTATTAGTGAAAAATGTGTTACAAATATCTCAAATTCAATTCATAACTTTATCATGGTGAAAAAGAATTTATCAAAATTTAGGAATACTAAAAGGTTCTCTGCGTCTACTTTTAACAAATACCGTATCCATATATCCTATGTCAATATCATAATACTCGTATCCTCCACCCACCTCAAAAATTGTTTACATTTTATGTGTTACATAAATTGCTTTAATTTCCTAGCACTTAAAAATTTTATGAAATGATATTACAAAGTGATAAACATGAGTTCGTCTAAATACAAAAAGAAATCTTATTTCATAAAACATTCGATTATAAAAGTGCAGGACAGCATTATGTGTATGTAACATAGCATAAATATTTGATATTCAAATTTGTAGCTGCTTTAGATAACACGCCCAACATTAAAGGTGCAGTTGTATAATAATATAAATATAAACCAAACAATAAACTAAGGATGGATGGAGAACACAAATCACAAGTTTTACCGTGACAAAGGATAATACATTTTATACTTTTTGTTTGGCAGAAGTTGGTGCGTCAATAAACACAAAATAACTGGCAATTATGTGTTCTAAAAATTGAGATTAGTTCCTCTAATGCCAAGGTACTTGGCTTGGATGACTGATGGTACCCAGTTTGTAGTACCTGGTGGTAGACGGCGTCTGCTGTGCCGGCGTGGACGAAGTCGGCGGAGTCGCTAAAAGGGGAGTTTCGGCACCCTGTACCGGGGTGCCGTCCCCTTTGAGGACCGAAATGCATTTCCAGTGGTTAATAAAATTGTCTTTCCACAATCGGACACAGCCGTCGTCGCCGGAACTCGCTAAAATTGTTCCCATAAAATTCCAGCTAACACGCCACACGGTACAGTAATGATCATCGAATTGCGCGACTATATTCGTTTCGAACTGCGATACACCAGACTGCGAACTGTCCCTGTAGAAAAAAATTGTAAATATTTACACTTTAATTTGTCTACAAACAAAGCTCTTTATGTAGCATTGAACAATTGTACTTACTGCGTCGGCTTCAACGTAGCTATCCGTACATCTTTCGTAGCTATGGCTAGTGTGTGGAAATTTCTGCCTAAATTAGGAGCAAATGCAATATCGTAAACGGCATCCGTAACACTCGACAATGTCTCCATCTTCATCCAACGTCTACTGCTCTCAGAATATTCGTAAATGAAGACCTTCGCTCCAAGCGTTGGATTTGGATCGTCACTACCGACTGCTATCATAGGTGGATGTAATCTATAAAATATTTTTTCAAATATTAATATAAAAATTTAAAATATAAAATATTTATGTTCCGTTCTTCATTGTATATCATGTAATAAATTAATCTTGTATCTTTTTCTAACATAAATTATAAAGATAAAAAAAGGTAAACGTGTAAAAATCTTACCTTGAAAGAGATGGATTCCATGAAAGACAGCTACATGAAAGTTTGCAATTGATATCATGTTGTAACGTCCACTGGCTCAAATTCATGATATCTGGTGCCTCATATATCCGAACAAATCCATCTGCGCTGCAAGTGGCCAATAAGAGACCTAAAATCTTTGGTGCAAATTTTACATCCGTGACTGAGGTGCGGGAGTCAACTAAATTTGTTCTTTTGATCCAATGCTTGCTGCCACGTGCCTCTGGCCCAGACCCTTCGCCAACTGTTGAGAAAGAAAAGATATAGAAAATGATAAAGACGTTTACCAAGTTTACATAAAAAAATTAAAATACCGTACCGATTTCTTCCCAAACAGCAGCAGTTCGATCAAATGAACATGTAGCAAGTACTTGACCAAATTCAGGATGCGCCCAAGTAACTTTCCATACTGAACCACTGTGAGCCTTCCAAGAAGCAGTCAAGTGCCAATTTCCGTGTTCATCTTCATCCCAAACCTGTGGCGTTTTATTATATAATTATTTGCCATAAGATTGCTTATAAAATTAAATTCTAAATTATATTTTTAACATTTGCATGTGTAAAAAAACCATAAAAAGCAATACTTGAATTCACAAATAAATAAAAAAAAGATCAATTATTTTCGTTTACTATACCTTAACAAATTGATCACTGGAACATGTCGCCATTCGTTCTCCATAATAATCGTAAGCGATGTCATGTATGAGATCTTTGTGCTCTGCATTGATACTATGTGCCTCGAACATCGTGAATAAAATAAGTATCAGTAATATTACTGAAGTATGAAGTTGTGTTTACTAAACACGCTACAAATTATAGGTTATGACAGTATGCAGTGTACTCCGTGCCGACATCTATCGGTTTTTTTCACTGACGCAAATGCTCGCGCGCAAGCGAGGGCAAATGAATGACAACGTCTTCTGCGGTAAATTTATAAAAATTATTAACACTTGCAAAGCTCAATTTAATATTATAAATACTATTAAATTTTAAAAATTATATTATATTTAAAATAAATTATATTTAAAACTTATATTAAAAATACTTATCAATATTGCAATACAAAAAATACAAAACATAAATAGTCTTCTCAGAATTCAAAAATTATTACATTCCATACTATTAATATTAATGTACATTTGATTCATTTTTATGCCTTAGAATCTTAAATAACGGAAAAATAGCACGGCCGCAACAAATTTCAATATTATTGAGATATTGATCATTTATCTTTTATAAAAGAGAATATATTTATTCTTCTTTTTTTAAATCCATTTTTTTCTCGAAATGTTATAGAATTAAAATTTTAATCCATTAAATATTTGCAAAAAGAAATTTATTAATCGAGAAAATTGTTTCCCTAAATAAATAGATTTGTTCTCTCTCTCTCTCTCCATCTATTTAACTGAAGCAACAATACTTAATTACTGTTCCAGTGTTATTAATTATTTATATCAAACACGCATTAAAAAATTCTCAAGGAAGGTGGTTGGCATTCGCAAAGCTCTGCACGACTCATCTATAAGGCCGATGACGGTATCGGATAACACTTTGACCCATTCATACGGCATCTGCTATCCGAGACCGACTCTCGGTCTCGCGTAATTGCAGCCGCAAGCGTATTCCTCGGCCACCCCGGCTGATCGCCGTGATCAGGTGTATTGCGATAATGGCCAGGTATTTTCATTAATCTTGCCTCAGCAGAAACGCCGAGCGAACTGTGTAAAGTTAAAGCAATTATTAGTTCATCCTATAAAGGTAATGTCCAATTTTTTACATTTGCCTACAATGCATGTGTAAAAAAAAGTATAAAATTCAAATTAAATTCGCTGTTTGAAATATTTTGGCATCATTTTTATAAAATATGTTTCATGTTAAGAACTTTCATAGTCTTGTAACTTTTTAGTCATTTTCTATTAAAATAATTTTAACAAACTGTAAAAGAAGTTCAAATCTGACAGAGTAATGTTAAGTAAATAAAATATAAAAGAATTATTTTCTTCGTAAATTATTCTACGTTATTGTTTCTATTAAATTATATCAAATTATATCAAATATGGGTTTTTCTCAGTTCTGTACATCTTAAACATATCAATAGAAATACGTTCTAAAGTAAGGAAATCTTGAAATATCGAACAAAAGTAAGATAGTGCATTTTTAAAGTAATGCAAAGCAGCAATAACACAAAAAATAGAGACAAATTTCTCTCAAATATTAATGCATCAGGAAGAAATGGTTTGAGTGACAAGTTCTTTGTGTTGTCACCTACTCTCTTTTATCGCATTTCCGGACAATATTATGTCTAGGGCACTCGTATACGGTGTAAATAAGTACTCCATATCGTGAACTGTCATCAGGCACTTCAGTCAGTCGTCTTATGAAGCGACGATACTTTACGGCTTAATCTCAGTGTTGAGATTGAACCGTGAAACGTCGGATCGAAATAATTTCTTCGTTAAAAAGAACGAGAATCTCTAACGTTTCCCCGCGATTGAACAATCAAATCTCACAACAATCAAGATTGTGTAAGTTGCAATTGTTAAAAATTGTATAAAATCGACGAAAATAAGAATCTCAGTTGGTATAATGTGTGTGAAGAAGTATATCAGAAATAACATTCCTTAAAATCAAAACATTATAATTGCGATATTATGATAAATGTAACTTTAAAATATCTTTCGGCAGTGAATGCATTTATAATTATAAAACACTGAAAAGTTCCAACTAGTACAATAATGGTGTTATATTTGCCCAAATGTCCCAACGTTTATTTCATTATGTTAATTAAATCTAAAAAAAAGTAGCTATATAGAGAAAGCGCGATTCGAATTAAATACAATGACACATGTGACAGTGTTCTTTTAAATCGCTTTGCAGTGATACAGCGTTTCTGTTGCAAAATGTGCGCGTTGTGCTATCGGTAAACAGAGTGTAAAAACTTTGTAAAGTATTGTCAAAAGTATTATGCTCCGTTTATCAATAGTACGGCGCGACGGGATCATCTGCTGATGCTGATCGAACGACAGAGGATTCTATTGACTTTTGCGGTTCCCATATTCCAGCATAATTCAGCCGTGTCGTTGTGAGGCATTATGCTAGGAAAATGCGGTGTCGTAAATGTACGCTGATTTTCGAGGAAAAGAATATAGAAGTTGCATCTGCGTCCGCAGGTTTTACAACAAAGTGAAGCCAATAATATTTTTTATACTATAATTAAATAATTTCAAACGAGTTGCAAAACGGACATCACACTTCGCTACTTATCCTCAGCATTGTCGTCAGAAGAAGTACGCTCGCAGACCGCATTGCATTTGCGAAAACTTGACAAATTACAGCGACGTTTTATAATTAGCGAAGATTGCGAAGAGCAATCGCGTCGTTCGTGCCGTTTAATAGTCGAAGATGCGTCCACTCGCACCGGAGGATCGTCAATGACGCATTCGCGCGCGGCATCAAAGAAATATTTTCTCAATTCTCACTGAGGTTATCGATCCCCTCGACCTCGTTACATTTATTCCCATATGTTGTTAATACGCGTCGATTGTACTGCGACCGACAATTTGCGCGAGAAATCCGACTGGAACGTAACGTGATGCGCGATCCACGCAATTAATCTGTTTTAGCAGTGACGTTTCTTCGTAAACCAGCCTTTTCTCATGTAAATATTTATAGACACACGAGAGTAAGGATTGAAACTGATTTTATAACTTTGGTAAGTTCAATTTTCATTGCTTTTTAGTATATAAATTTGCACAGATACAAAAAATTAACATATTTGATAAAAATATGTTCCATAAAAAACACCATATTTTTATCAATGTTTCACTGTTAAAGCCTAATCGTTAGTTCTTTTATTGTATTGCGATGAGTACATGTGTTTAATACGTTTTGTTTAAAATGGTAAAACTGAAATTTTCTGAGTGTGCGAAATCTTTAATTAATGTTTACCGCATCTTTAAATAACTCTGATCCTGATTTATGTCATAGCCGCGTTATCACAGATCTGTGTTATCACAGATAAACATAGATATTGTTGATATCATTATTGATATCATCGAAATGACTGGTGTCAATTCTGTTAGAAGAGCTGTGAAAATCAAAGAGGAAAATGCGCGTGGCCGTCGTGGGCGCCGGTATAATAGGAGTAACGAGCGCGCTTGCGGTGAAAAGCGCTTTTCCGAATTATAATGTGAAGATCTTCGCCGACGCATTCTCACCTGACACAACCGGCGACGGAAGCGCCGGGCTGTGGAGTCCTTTTCTTCTTGGTGACACACCCGTCGAGAATATAACGTGAGTGCATTCCTTTGTATTTGCAGAAAATGCCATGAGTGAAATTGTACGTTATAAAATTAAAAAATCTGACAAAAAGTATTTTTTTCCTATAAAAGACGTAATGTTAGAAACGCGTGTGTACCAACAAGATCTTTCGTCGTTAAAAATTTACGTAGATTACTGACTCATCCTATTTTGGATAGTAAATATTACAATAATACAATAATCGTATGATATCAATTAGTCGATGGGCTGGTCGCACACATCGTTGGTTCGAACAATTGTGGAAAGCCGGATTGTCATCGAAAACGGGTGTTTCCTTGCTGCCTGTAATTCGCGTTGTCAACGATGATGCGGACAACATTTATCCAGCATGGAAAACACTTGTCTACGGCTTTCAAGAAATTGGCACAGAGAAATTACGACGCTTGAATGAAGAACACAAATCTAAATATAAGTATGTTTTAATCTGTACTGTAAATCACCTTAAATTTTGATCACAATTTTTAAATAAAATTATTATTCTTATAATTTTTGTCGAAACAAATTATCTCAAGTGTACTGATATTCTTATCTCAAATGTTACTTGCTATTTTTCTCAGTCGTATCTCGAAATTCCAAGTTAACAATTTCAGACGAGGTTGGCATTTTATAACTTACACCGCCGAGCCAGTTCTACTGTTACCATGGCTTATGGAAAAGTTCGTTACTTTGGGCGGAGAAGTGGAAAGAAGAAGCATTCAAGCATTGCACGAGTTAGCCGAAGAAGGATACGATTTAATAATAAACTGCAGCGGGCTCGGTGCACGAGAGCTTGTCGCAGATAAAATGATGACGCCTATCCGAGGTCAAGTGTACAAGGTAATTGACCTTCCAATTTACATCCTTTTCAAATACTTTTTTTTTGTTTTATCGTTCCGCCTAGTCGCAAAACTGATAGAAGAATCTATTTAAGGTAAAAGCGCCTTGGGTAATGCACTGCTTTCTGGTGGACGACGACAAATGCAATTACATTATCCCTAAGTAAAGCAAGCATCAATAATGCATATTTATTAACAATAACAGTTATTTTTGTGTAATATCTGTCGTTTCTGTAATAACTAGCATCCACAGCGTTGTGCTGGGCGGTACGCATCAGGAAGATGACTTCGACCGTTCCGTAAGAGAGGAGGATTCAAAACACATTTATGATGGATGCTGCCGCATAATGCCGTCTTTAAAGGTCTTAATATATTCAGCATAAATTTTTAAACACACTCCACTTAATGTCCACTTATTAAATTACTCTCGCGTTTAATTCCTGTTGCAGGCGAGTCAAATAATTCGCGCGTGGGTGGGCCTTCGGCCAGGACGACCGCAAGTTCGTCTGGAATGCGAAACCCTCAATTCGCCCAGGGGGAAAGAGTTCAAGGTAAATTGCCATAAAATACCGCTAAATGTCGGCGGTAATGCCACATTAAACTTTGACGCACACGAGTCATCATTCAAGCGTTACTAAATTTCACGATTGTTTCTTATAATGCTCGTTTCGTGTTTTGTGCTTCAGGTGATACACAATTACGGTCACGGCGGAAGTGGCGTGACATTGAGTTGGGGATGTGCCACGGACGTCGTGGAAATGATAAGAAACTTGGAAATGCCCGAATTAAATTCCAAACTATAACTCCAGAGACAGAATAAACTTTTTATCCTTCATATATATTTTTACCCGCATGCGGCGGCGTTCAACCTTGTTCAATCCCTCCCCTACCCTTCCATCCGGAAAGTTGTGTCGCTAAAAATATTATTTTTATCACTTTTTTCGCTTCTATTTTAATTCTTAGACAAGAATATTAGATTCCCTTTTTAGATCATATATTGAAAATAAATTTTTTTTCTGTCGCAAGGAATGAGTATTATTACAAAGAACTTTTAGCCCGATCCGCATCGCCCATAGCTATTTAATATCTGATCGATATCTTTACAACTTTTACTTTAGACTTCCCTGTTTCACATAGAGAATAAGAGTAAAAAGTCCAGAAACGTAATTACTTAAACGTCAAGAAACGAGTAAACGCGCGCGCGACGCTCCGATCTGCGCAAGGCGCAGCAACCTATTTAAAGTTTCGTGTCGTGATTACTTCCGTAACAGTACAATTTCTAAATATGGTCGTCTAGCTGTAATTAAAGCACCAAACTAACTACCAGGATACCGTACATGTCGACTGTTCCGCAGTAGTCGCGTAAAGCTAGACGCCGGTGACGTGCGTCTCTTTAGTCGCAGTGCGATCTATATCGCCGCAAATTTTTACTCGCGGAAGCAGTCAGCGCTTCATCATCACCAAGACTGAACAGGAGAATCGAGGTACGCATGTTATTTAAAAAGTAATCAAAACACTTTGCAGAGTGTCTCAAGCTTTAGTAAATTTTGATTGATTTATCTTTAGGAAGTTTTTCCAAATTTACATATTTATTATGACATTTTTGAGGCATGGTAAAGATTTGAGCATCAATCGACGTAAACGATTAGATTATGTATCGATTAGCGATTTATCGCGTATCGCTATCGCCATTAATGTGGATGTTAAAAGGGATTAAATTCGGATCGATTTAATGCGGAACTGAACGTCGCGCGCGTAATGACAGCGCGATTAAAATAATCGAATAATGGAAAACAGCACCGGTCATGATCGTCATTGAGTATAGCAATAAGCGCTCACTGATATTGCACGATTCTAAGGATAATAATTCCAGAAACGAAAGTGCGACAGACAGTGAGAACGTCCCTGTGTCCGATATCAGCTTCGAACGATCTTTGCGATCAAAGCGATCCAGCAAGTTTGCATTTCGAAATCGGAAGGCCATCGTTTCCGACGATTCCTCGAACATCCTATTGCTCGCAAACGACAGAATAGGTGTTGCCAAGCATGATTCCGAATTGTACCATTGGAAGGTCACCACAGACAAAGGCAACAACACAGGTATTTATTTTATCTTGAACTTGATATGACTAGAAAGATAAATTTGAAAATATGTTTTAATGAAGAATCCGCATCAGATAAAATAGATTCTCAGGAATCTTCACTATACTGACAATTCGAGTGAAATTACTTTTTAAATTTAATGCTAACAAAATATTTTGCATACACTTTAAATCCCAGAAGATCCTTGCCAGATCTGATCATTATTTTACACAAAAAAAATGTTAAACAGATGCATTACATGAGAGCGATTCGGAGCAGCATAAAGAAAGTGTGGAAGAAGCATCGAAAATCAAGAAGAAGAGAAAAAGAAGGTACGCCAAAAAATTACACGTCTCGTTTAATAATTAAAATTGATTAAATTTTTTAATGAAAAAAAATAGATTTTTAACAATCTGCACGGCAAACTGCAAGTACGACGTGGTTAGACGTGTGGCTACGCGATTCGGAATGAGGGAAGTTACGGAGGACAGCAGCTGGGATCTCTATTGGACCGACCTGAGCGTCAGCGTGGAGCGTGCCAAGGACATGAAGAGATTCCAGAGGGTCAATCACTTTCCTGGAATGACAGAGATATGCAGGAAGGACTTACTCGCCCGTAATCTCAATCGAATGTTGAAGCTGTTCCCGAAAGACTACAACTTTTTCCCGAAAACTTGGTGCTTTCCTGCCGAGTAAGATAACGTGGCCCTAATAATATCGATTTTTTATTAAACATTATTCATTAATTTTAGCTAATAAAAGTAGGATTTTTTATCCCATATTTAAAATGTGTCGAGAAAATTTATAGAACAAATCTCGTATAGTTATTGTTTATGGAATATTTATTTTTTACTAAAATATTTTTTTATAAAATACTTATCAATATATTACATCACACAGTCATATCACATACTCGAGATAAAATAGTTTTTAAATAGTTGATAATTTATATATACAAAATGAGATTTTGTATATATTTTGCTTCAAATTTATTTAACCGAAATTCGATATGCGAGTAGAGACTTTTTAATAGCAATAGCCCACAATAAAAAATATATCATCTTACAATTCTGCGAATCGGCATCACATGTCACGGAATAAAGAACGCGGCTCTCTATCGATTGAAAGCCTTCTTATCTATTTTATAAGTGTGAGACTCTCGCGCGGGGACGAGTCGTTTTGTTTAGTTTCTTCGAACGAGCGCTCTCGGGTTCCCGATCGTAAATTCCAAGGGTTTGCCATTACGGCGATAAAGAATAATCAATATTTCCTGAATGTCGATGAGAGAGTGTAAGCGGATCGGAAACCTTAGATTTCGGATTCCAGTCACGGCGACGCGATGGCTTATGCCAAATCGCGACGGTCGAAAACTTTCATCGTCAAACCGGATGCGGGCTGTCAAGGACGCGGCATTTACCTAACGAAACACTTGAAGGACATCAAACCGAGCGAACGTTTAATCTGCCAAGTGTATATCGCAAGGGTACGAAATATCAATCTTTCCCCGCAATAAGAAAATTGATGAAAACTTGCAGAAATTGAATTAACTCTTTTCAAATAAGAAAATTTTTTCTTGTACCGTTTTTTTTTTTTTTTTCTTTCTTTACGTAGAGATTCTGTGAGAGATATTACTTTCCAATAAATATATTCAGTATTTACCTATAATTGAAAACTTCACAGTTGCAGTGCAAAGCAAGTATAATGTATATAGTCCTTTTTACTACATCCTTAGCCCTTCTTAATAGATGGATACAAATTTGATCTACGTATTTATGCACTAATTACGGCATGCGATCCTCTCAGGATCTACGTGTATAATGAAGGGCTCGCAAGGTAAGACTTTTATATAAAAAATCAAGAAAAAAAGATTTTAATAAATATACTGTTTTTTTCAAAGTTGTATACTCGATGTTTTGGAAAACTGTGAGAAATTTCACATTTTCAGATTTGCCACGTGTAAGTACAAGGAACCGACCAGTCACAATGCTTCTAATATGTTCATGCACTTAACGAATTACTCCGTTAACAAGCACAGTCGAATGTACATCATTGATAATGAGATTGGCAGCAAGAGGTTTGTACATTTAAAAAATCGATAATGTATTAAAGAACGAATGAATAGAATAGCAAATTGTATTTTACAGAAAGATATCAACGTTGAACAATTGGCTAAACGCAAGAGACATCGATGTGGATGAACTGTGGGATAAGATTGATGGAATTATAATTAAAACCGTGGTTGCCGCATATCCTGTGTTGAAACACAGTTATCACGCGTGCTTCTCTACGCACGATAAAACTTACGCATGCTTCGAGCTTCTAGGATTCGACATTTTACTCGACTGGAAGCTCAAACCTTACCTTCTCGAAGCAAGTCTTCAAGAATATCCTTTAAGAGAAACATTATTGAACATTCTCTAAATTTGATCAATTCTACGCAGGTAAATCATTCACCAAGCTTTCATACGGATGCACAAATAGATAAAGATGTAAAAGAGGAATTGCTGATGGACACCTTCGATATATTGAATCTTCAGCAATGCGATAAGAAAAAAATAATAGAAGAGGACAAAAAACGAATCAGAGAGCGTCTTCTTCAAGGTATAAGCGGAAAAGATAGTAGGTGGGTGCAAATATTATATATACATGATACGTTATCACTGCATAATTAATCTTCTGGTTTTTAAATAAGATATCTCTGTCGTAAATAAATAATTTTGATTAACACTTAAAAAGACACTCATTAGAAAATAATTTTTTATAAAATAATGTATAATCTTTTTTAGTAAAATATCTGTTAGAAATTAAATGATTAATATTTATTCTTGTTTTTAAAAATATAATTAATTCAGTAGTAAAACTCTATTCCCGTAATAATAAATCGAAAAGTGTGTTGTATACAACGTGCAGTCTAGCTAACGACTCGACAGCTACAATGAGATCTGAGAAGAATGAAAACGATTACATGCAGAGACAGTTTCAGTGGGAAGACCACCATATGGGCAATTTCCGAAGAATTTACCCGTGCCTCGGCGAAGATAAGTATCAATCTTTCTTCACACAAAACGCGCTTTCTGTTTTCCAAGATACGGTGGCGTCGAGAGCACGGGAAGAAGCATTAAGGATAGAAAGGGAAGAAAATGAAGTAAATTTTTCCTCATTTTATGGCATAATCCTCTAAAACAGATCAAATTTCTAAGAGCTATTCACGTTAATATCATATAAAAATAAATGCCACATAATAATTCTGTAATATAAAATAAACTGCGATACATTTATGCATTTATAAACAACATACAAAACATTATTTAAACTAACATCAATAAAATTATATAATTTCATTAAGAAATTTAATTATATTTTTTATAATTTTATCATATTCTAGTTAAAAACAAAAGAGGAAGAACGCAAAAGAGTATTCGGGAAATGGAGCGAGCAAAAATTGAGCTCTGAAAGCTCAAGCGCGTCGAAAAAATCGCAAGAAAGAAGTAAATCCGCAGGCGTACTAAAGAAAAACGTTAGTGAAAATTAGTTCATTTTCTGAATGCAGCAACATAAATAGACGCTTTATTGTTTTATTTCCTCACGAATAAACTATTGACGAAAATTAAGAGGAAACATAATTAAAGCGTGACGTCTCGAAGAGAAAAAGCTCATGTTGGATGAGATGGGATTTTCTTCTCATCTACGGAAAGGAACGAAAAATGAGCAGGCTTACCTATTCTCATTTTTTTTCACAGATCAATAAGCAAGACGCACAAGAATCTCCTACCAACGCCCTGTATTCTTTCGAGCCTGAAATTATATCCGAGTCTGAGGAGAGGGAGCGAATAACGGCCCTAGCACAAAGGGATTTTCTCATCAAGAGTTATGGCATGCTTGAACAGATATACATGGCGATGAAGAGGAATGGCACGCTACGACCCGCCGACGAGAGGAAGTACGGACTGTACGGTCGGCTGGGATTACATGCGAACACAAGCCACAGCACGTGTTCGCACAAGCTCCATCATCGCCAAAACGGCCATCAGGACACCGTGCAACCAACCGCAAACCAATGCTTGCAATGTTCTCAAAGACGAAACGAAGTAACAATACATCCGTTTTAAGAGATTTCCGAGACTTATTCTAAAAAATTCTAGAAAATAAAGAGTCAGCTGCTTGGCTCATTTCCTTATCGTATATATTTTAAAAAATAAAATAAACATAGACATTCAACACCTAATAAGCGTGCAAAAATATAAATGTTGCATCCAAATCAATAAAAAAATGACTTAAGATCTTAATCTTTTGAGTCCCAATGTTTAAATCAAATTAAATCTTACGATTCTTATATAAGAGCAAAATAATAAGTAATATATACTTAAAAAAATGGAAACACGTAATTTAAGTTCGGGACTTAAAAGATTAATTTATATATTTTAAACAGCAAAGCTATATATAAATTTACTACTCATTTTATTTATAATTATATAAAATATGTACTGTTTTTAGCACAAAATGGTGGAACAGGAACGTCAGTTCAACAATTCAAACAGAAGTAAGCATTGGCATTTTGATAACTGTAGTTAACTTTCAACGTAGTAAATGTAATGCAATGCAATTTTAATTAATTTTTTAAATTGTACAAACGTTGTTTAATTTTATATATGTATTTAAAAATGTGTTACTGTGATTTATAGGCATGTGGTTGACGTGTAACGAGGCGCTTGTTTATGTTCGTCCGAAAATACCGCAAAAATTATGGACAGAAGAAATAAATTGTAACGATCACAGAGGTCGTGTAACAAAAGCACACGTTGCTAGAACACTATCAAATACCGTGCGTTTGCACACGCTTGAGAGAAGAGAATCTTTCCATTCTGCGAAATCCAGGTAAATTAGTCAAGTTTCTGTTCTACAATAAGAAATTTTAATTTAAAATATAATTACACATGTTACAACAAAATTATTCTAGAATTAACGCTGCCATCCAACATTGAACATAAAATGGACATTTTCTAGGATAAGAAAATGATTACAAAAATATAATAAAATAATTTTTTTTAAATGACATCTTTATACGAAAAATACGAAAGTTATCGATTAAAAACACTGACCAGAAGAAAATTTAGATAATTATTATAAAGAAGACTGCGATATCTTGTGGCTAATTTTGCTAATGTCAATCAAATGAAGATTAATAACAACAACACTCATAATAATATTGAGAAATTAAAAAAATTTTATATTAAATATATTATATATTCTTATATAAAAGAGATCACTTTTCCGCATTAGGAAAAAGCTTTATGTAAATCCTTATTCTGGAAAGAGTTTAAACGAGAAAGGAAAATAAACTGTGTGGCTTGTCTGATATCCAGAAACTTAGGACATATGTTACGTTGGTGCGTATGCGGATGCTATTTCAAGGTAGAGAACAGTAATATAAAAATCAACAATGTATCGGTTTGTTATTTAAAGTGCCATATAAATATGTACAATAGATGTATGAGTGAACATGTACATGTCGCATAAGAGTGGGAGTTAGGTACGCGTCGCTGCGTATGTAAAATGGTCGCCAGTCTATAATATGTATAACAATTTTTTTATTGCTGATATATATATATAGATTCTGTATTCACATGATAAAAAATAATCTATGAACAATTTATCGCGTACTGGTGTTGCCTCGTTCATGATATCGCGTCCACATCGTTTTATCGTAGCGTATTGCCGGATACGCTTTCTTCAGCTTCTCTTTTTGTTTACTCTTATCGTTTTGTGTCGCAATCGTGGTGGACGCGCTTTTTTTAAGTGTTACGGCATACGTAATCGCATAAGTAAAAAAAATAATTATAATTGAGAGAATCCAAAGTTCCTTCCGTTCTCTTCCATGAGATAACAATAATTTGCATTGTACAAAATAATATATAATGTACACTACGCCAAAATTTACAATCTATAAGAATCGCGTTGCATTCTCTCCTAAATTTCTAAATCGCGATCGGATTTTCTAAATTACAATCTTTTTCATCTTCGAATTAAGAAACGTAACACGTTAAAAATAATAGCGACACTTTGCAGAATCCACGCATATATGACGATGTAATGTCGGCCACCCTGACTGTAAATTCTATGTTTTATGTCAATGTAAGAACAAGAATTAGTGCGAAATACATCCAACACATTACAATCGGTGATATTCTTTTTTTTTTTTTTTAACGTGATATATATGTTATTTACATGAAACCACTGTGATTGCGGCGAATATTTGCGCGTCTCATTTGATTCCCACCATATTAAGTCTTAGATATAGAAAGGCTTATGTACATAAAGTTAATAGATATTTACGATAGCCTATATCATAATCGCTTATAAAAAGAAAACTCAAAGACCATAAATGTATATATTCATGCGAAATATTTCCATCTTCGTTAAAAAATCGCTACGTCTCGTATATATATATACATATTTCCGCTGAAAACAAAGGTAACTGTATTTGAAGGAAGTGCAATGAGACAGATAGTTGGACACATACGAAATGCATTTGTTTTTAGAACAAATAGTACAGGGGGGGTTAAGCTCTACCGTCAAACACATATTTAATTATCATCGGTTAGTGAAGAAAACAATTGTTAAGAAACACATTGAGATACATGCTTTGTATCACAAGCGGACATGTATAGCACAATCATCTTTAAAATTATAACACTTATAATTTAAATCTGTGAGAGATAGACATTATCTTTAGTCACTTAAATTACATCTCATTTATTTGTACTAGAAAAACGATTTTCTCCACTGCCTTAGCCATTGACAACGTTATTCCTGTGAGTTTTCGTAAATCGCTTAATCCCCTGCATTTTTAACTTTCGCAATAAAAGCAACGTTAACAAGTTTTTAGCGTGACCTTCCTCCCCACATGAGAAAATATAGAAAGAAGATATGTAAAGATGGTATTCTATTCGTTGTAATACTAATATGAGCATTATGTAGTTATAGGATCCTGTTTATGTTACTCACATGTAATATGTGTTAAAAACGATTACAGTAAAACAAGCTTACAGCATGAATTAAACGGAGACTTCGAGTAAGAGATTATTTAATATTAAATTAAGAGATCTCTCTCTGTCTCTTGATCTAATATTAAATTTATTAAATTATAAAATAATTTTTAATTTAGAATTGTTAATATTTATGATGTTTATAATTATAATTAAACGTTAAAATAATGCAATATATAAATTATATTATAAATAATTTCTAAATTTAGAAAATTAATAAATTTTTTTTAATCTAAAGTTAATTTTGCAATAAGATTATGAGAATTTATTTTAGAGTAAGAGATTGAGAAATTTCTTAATCTAAAATAAGTTTCTTTATCTAAAATAAATTTTAGATTAAATAAACTAGTAAATCGTATATAATCGAAATACAGTAGATACTAATAATGTTCAAAATCTCCAACTATTCGTCAAATCAAATCTCCGTTTAATACAGGCATCAAATGATATAACTGGCTATATATCATATACATATAAAAAACTATACAATCCGTATAGACTTGATAATTTTGTGTTAGCTGCCGACGGAATTTAGTTTTCTCGTTTCTCCTAACATTTAATCTCCTATGACAATAATACTCAGTTCTTTTTAATATCGTCGATACTGTAAACCTGGCAGATGCGAAGATTACGCTAGCTAGTTAAAATTGTTAAGTGTGCACGGAATTTCACTATCGTGGATTTGAGAGACATTACTTCGCCCTATTTCAAAATAGATTGTACTTAATAGCAAATTCAGTTGAACAAATATGCAAATTAAAGTTTGTTGTACACTAATCTTAGTGAAAAAAAAAACAATATAAAAACGTTTTGATCAATGCGTATCCTATCAAAAGCAATATGACAACTTGTGCTGAATGACTTGTGTTGATCTTCTCATGGATCCAACTGCTTATACATATGAATTTATATTATTTTTGTCTTTGTATAACAGTCTTTAGCAGTACCCGTTCAACCCAATTCGCTATACGTTATCTTTCGCAGATGAATTGCAACTTATATAAAAACAAATAGTTACAGAAGATCTATGCACGCAATATGTGACATAATTTTGAAAATGTTACAATTGTAATTATCCTAATCAGATTTTTAGCGATTTTACCTACATTTTAGCGCTGCCTAAATGTCAAGGGCTTGTGCTAATTTTATTTCTTATATTGGATTTCTATTGAATTATAAAATCTTTTGTTATAGTAGAAAAACCTGCATAATTATATCAGTCAAATAAATTCCTGCTGTGTGCGTAAGTAATCCCATTAAAGATCACTCGACAAATAAAATGTACTGTTATCATAGAAACTTTTTACATAACTTTAGAGATACATTTTTTTTTCTTATATCCTAATTTAACAGCAGTCAAAATTAAAAGATTAAACCATGGCAACAATATAATCAAGTTATTAACATAAAAAGAAGATAAAAAATAAGAATTACATTAGCGATTATACTTAGCATCCACTTTGTTTACAGCGAATTTAGGATGTGCAGATTAAATGCATCCAATTGAATTAGCTATTAGATCTATTAAGAAACTTAATAATGCAACTGATTTATCTTGTGCATACAAAAATTATTCTTATCGTGTTAATTTTATTTTTATGTATTTTATTCACAAATAGCTAATAATTAACCGTATAAAAAACCGAAAAACCGAATAATTAACCAAACAAAAATTTTTAGTTTTGTTCAAAGTTGAAAAAAGTTAGAATGTTAAAAATCAAAGATACCAAAGTAAAATTTACCATGGTTTACACTAAAATATATGATGTATAAAAATATAAGAATTGCAGCATTTCTAGGTATATCGCTTGGAAGTACCAATACTGCATTTTAAGTCTGTGTAATTCCGTTTCTTGAATGGAACTGGTCCATTCATGCTGATTGTATTGAGACATACACTTAAATTTAATAAAACATGTACATTTAACAATAAAAATAGGACTTGTATTGCGACAAGCTCTTATGTTCACCTTCAATCGATCAGTATAATTTGTATCACAATAAATATATCATCTGTATGTTAAAGGTGATACACATTCATTAGTTGCAATCAACTAAAGACAATTTAAATAATATATGCCCTGCTATGCATCCATGATTTTAAACATATTTTATGTTATCTTCAAATTTTTTTTTATAAATTATCTGATTGTGTTATGAAGTTGTGTTGCTAGAAATAGATATAGATATTATTTCAAATTTACGCCTTTTATATGTCAATGTGATTTCAATATTAGTGTTCGTGTTCGTAACATCATTGTATGAATTATCTAAAAAATCTGTAAAAGTCCTTCTCTGTTAATACACGATAACGCTGATGACAAATGGTACTCATATAAATCAATTTCTTCTTTGTAAAATTGTGACATTAAGGACCACACTTGAATATCAATTGCAGAGATAATAACATTTATTATGTTTATGAGGAACGTTTATATAGGATAAAACAAAGACGATGTAATTGACTCGTCTCTAATAATATATCTGTTTTTATTTGTATGCCAAATATAGATTACTGTTATTTTCAAATTAAATGCAATCAATTAAGTAAGAATACTAGGTCCTTTACGAATCTTGCATATAATATCAAAATAACATCAAAATTTAGCACTCAACATCTTTTTTACACAAACGTTTTAGTCAAACTCTTCTAAAATATTTTCCATTTTACATTAATTTAAAAAATTACGTTTGGTAATATTGTTTTCTATATTTAAAATTCAACCTCAAATTATGTTAATTAAATATTTTTTATGAATCCATTTGCCATAAACAGATTCAAAATTTAAAATAACTTCTAAACATGTTATTTCTGTCTTGATATTCATTAATATGACTTACAATGATACCCTAATATTTCAACAAGTTAAAGCTAATTGTAAGTATTAACAAACAGCGTATTTTTATATTGTACGCACGACTTCGCCCGTGCATTAGTATTTACCACGTTAGTGCTATGAATGTGTCTCTCTGTCTCTCTCTGTATGTTGTATGACTGTGTATGTGTTATGTGTGTGCACAATCGCACTTGTGTACCATATATAAACGCTAACAAAGAGTCATTCGAGCGTCGCATGAACGACGAGACACAAAATGTTATGGTTTAAACTTAACCAGGGGTATGTTTTTCGATTGCAAACATTTATCACACGCCCATTCTGCATAGACCTCTGCTGTTAATAATTGATAGGCGTGCTCCGACAATCCTGTGCAACCCCTGAAACAATCGCGTTATCCCTTAAAATGCACGTCATATTATCTTGTTTGCATAATCATTATCCTATAGACTCACCTGTGAAACCAAAAATTACAACCCGATTCGCACAGAATTGCCTGATCATTATCATGCACCTCTTTATGACAAACTCCACAAGGATAAATTGGTGGCGCATTAGGATTTTGTGGATTAAATACCATTGATTGGTCTGGAGGATATATCTGTAAGCGACCAAAAATAAATTTGTATAATATGCTAAATATAACTATAATAAATTAATCATATGTTAATCACAAGTAATGTTCAGTAATGTACTTAATAAAAACCAACTTACCTTGCCAGCAGAAATTGGCATTGGTTTTGGACCCATTCCTGGTGGACCCTGAAACCCATGCGGCGGCATAGAACTTCCCATGGGATTAATGGGATGTCCCATGGGTGGTCCACCACCCATATTATTGGACATCGTACCCATCGGTCCTGCCATGTGACCACCCATTTGATTGTGATGACTAATATTCATATTAGACATATTGTTCATCGCCGGACCAGCCATATTCATATTGTTTATCTGATTCGGTCCGGTTATATTCATATTATTCGATGCCATTGAATTCATGGTAGTCATAGGTCCGTTCATAGGTCTTCCTATGTTGTTAAGATTATTTGCCATGTGATTTGGATGAGGTTGAGATCCATTATGTCCTAACGGACTGTTTACATTGTTAAGTGACGGCCCGTTTAACGGACTGTTGGGCGGTATATGGCTGTTCATGTTGTTCATGTTCATTGGTCCATTAGGCATATGATTGGATCCTCCCATGGTGTTCATCGGAGAACCAAGAGGACCACCCATAGGGCTGCCCATATTGTGACCCATGTTGTTCATCGGACTACCCATAGGCCCGCTGTTCATATTGTTCATCGGACTACCCATCGGTGGACCACTTAATTGCGAATTACCCATATGGCTCATATTCATATGATTGTTCATGGTGTTCATTGGACCGGGGGGCATGTTCGGGCCCATATTATTCATAGGGCTCATGCCGCCAATAGGAGCATGGTTCATGGGAGACATGGCACCCATGTGATTCATGTGATTTGTCATGGGTGAATTACCCATGGGGCTCATATTGCCCATGTTGTGTGGCATCATAGGACTCATGCCACCTATCGAAGTTAGGGGACTCATGCCTCGTATAGGAGGGCCACCCATATGATGTGGATGATGGGGATGCATATGAGGAGGTCCACCATGCATCATTGGGCTCGGTGTGCTTGGTGGTGGTGTATCATCGAAAGGATTACTCGCTACTATTGTATCACCGTAACCTGTTAAAGGTGGCGGTAGTAAATCCTGTCGAGTAAACGTCACGTTAATGTTAAGACAATTATTTTTAATGCCAAAACATTATAATATAAACGAAGTTGACAAAGTATGTTTACCTGTACAGATGGAGATGGTTGTGGGGGTGGCTGAGCAACACTTGCATTTGTACGTCTCTTCTTTTTAGGATTAGGACCAGCTGGTGGTGGCGGTGGTGGATGGGGGTGTGTAGAAGTATCGGGATGTGGGGCATTCGGGCCCATGTTCATACCCATTGCTACACCCCCCAATTGCATCCTTGTAAAGGGTGGCATGCCCGTAATATTATGGCTCATTTCCTTCGTTCGCTTCCCTTATTTTATCATGCCAGCACCACTGGATTTTTGTGGCAACTAAGTATTGCTGACCCACTTTAGAAACAAGCAAAAAACGATTTTGTTATGCAAAAAAGTTATATACACACAATTATATAATTCTCAAATATTTTATTAATTACATTTGTATAAATATGAAAACTATTGATCATTTGTGTGTTTGCTTACAAATTTTTTACATTTCTTTACACGTTTCCTACCAGATCAATTTTCAACAACTTTTTGTTCACGCCATGTAGGTTGCACGCGCCCAACGTTGTGATTAACAGACTAAAGGTATATCATATGATTAAAAATAACCAACCTTTGCAATAGTTTTTAGTTACATGTTTCCTAACGCTGAAATTGAGCGTCAGCGTGAAAAGGAACCTTAAGTTTTGCTTTATAAGCATATATTTTATAATAATTATAAGACTAAAAATCTCATAATTATCAAGAAAAATGTATAATGTAAAATTTGCGGTAGAACAAAGCCAACATTTTTTTCTTTTGACAAGTTATCGTCCTATTTATACAGTTTAAATCAAAGAAAGAAATAAAATATCAATTAGCCTAAATAGGAAATGCAGCATGACGCACACGACCTACGAGGCAGGAAATATGTTAATGTAAATTACATAAAACTGAATTAATTAAAAATATAATAACAAACATGTATATATCACTGTGAATTTATATAAAAATTATATATATAAATTGTTTCTTTTATCGAATATTTTCTTTGCTTGTAGCAAACTGCAGAATATATATCTATAAAAGTTAAATCATTAAAAATCTTCATGTGAATATGTTGTATAATAAACTCAATATTAATGATATTTCTTTAATGTAGACGCAATCAGACTATTCTATTTTTATTCCTAGTGCTATTATATACTATGCATCAATGAAGAATAACTTTTCAACTAGCCATGGAAGCATATATCCAAATACGATATCATAAAAAAAGATAATAAAACATCACATCGCATCGTTGTTCCATCACAATCATTCTCGTAGTGCACTCTTACCATTCATAAATACGCGTGCTATACTGTACTGGCGTAGGAAAGAGCGCGATATACTCATATAAAATATTACACAAATCTCAGACATACATATACATTTTCACATATACATGTATGCTTGATGCATCTGTCTATCTATATCTATATTTATATACGTCGATATAAATAACGAAATTACTACCGTTAAGTTTACCTCGGATGGCGCGCCAGCAGCCGTCCGTGCGTCCGTCATGTACGAGGAGGCGAAAGATTGAGGAGGCAAGAAAAAGAGAGAAAGAGAGAGTGAGACGAGATAGGAGAGGGAGAGCGGGGAACACGTTCACGACGCGACCGTGCCTTCGGCACGGCGATAAGAGAGGCCCGCGATACAACAAATAGAGGAGACTCCGTCGCGCTGGGCGAGCGAAAGAGAACAAAATAACAATTCCTGCCAGGCAGTTTTACAGACTAACCTAACCCTAACCTAGCTCACCGCAGGCGCCTCCACAGACTCTTCATTGTCACAGTGTGTGTACACGCAGCGCAATGCAACGCAGCGCAATGCAGCGCAGGGATCAGGTCGGAGCGCCGGGTGATTTAAAAAGACCGGTCACGAATTTATTGCGAATCACGACGTGCAATGCACGACGCGAATAGCATCGCTTTACTCACCAGAGCATTATAATGGGCGCGACGACGCGTGGTTGAGCATGGCACAGCCGTTTTTTCGGCGGAGTACACCAGCACCATGAATCGGCGCTGTGTCGCTGCTCGCTGTCTGACTGCTGCTGGCCTCAACGAGACGAGCAATAGACCGTCTGTGCACAATATCGGTTTGAGTTTCGTGGGTAACGCATTTCCTAATGGCACGAACAAGCTACGCATTCACAGATGCGCGTACACGGTCGCGGTAAACACACACTCGCACTTTCTCGATGCGTAGAACTGAGCAATGGAGCACACGCCACGGTTCTTCTCAGGTCGCCATTGTTGCGTTACGCGTGTCCCTCGTTGCGCTTGTGTTGTCGTCTTGACCGCCAGAAGCTACCGTACACGACCAGTAGATAGCGACTGCGTTTGCGTTTCTGGTGCAGTCAATGCAATACCGACGTTGAGAAGCCGTTGCATAGCTGAACAGCTGATTAGCTCAAACAGTAGCCTAAAATTTACATAATTTAATATAGGAGAAAATACATCGACAATATTGCACATCACACAGAACTCTTAGAAAAGTAATTTTATATAAACAATCTATATCTTTTAAAACAAGAGATGCCATTTTACATATAATTTTCAGCCTGAAAAAGTTTATTAATACACATTTCTTAATTTATCTTACATGTCCATTCATGCATCTCTTCAATTTTCATAGATTTCTTAGGAAAAAAAAAAAAAAAAACAAAAAACTTATACACTTCTTAATTACTTCAGCATTACATTAAAAAGTTAAATTTTATTTCGTAACAATCGAGGATTTAAGCTAAAGTTTAAAAAATTATCCTAATTATGACATTTTATCGTCCTTTAATATAATAACATATTTTTTCACTTACTTGGGTGAGAGAAAAATTATAAATCTATAAAGTATCAAAAAATTAAGTTTTGTATATATTTTAATACTTACCGTATTACATATACATTCACAGAGAAGCGTGTAGTTCACACTATGACACCCTGCCCGTCGACTCTTCCACCCACATCCGAGCTTAAAGTTGCCTCGCCATCCCCAGCATGGAGGACTCGCACGCATCACTTTAATTATTTGAGTTACATCAGTAAGTTAGCCCGGCTTAACAACCGGAAAACAACTCTCACGTTGTATCTACTTTGGACAGTTGCTTATAGTATGTACCATCTACGCAACACATACACATACACGCGCAGTACCGGAACTATGATTACGTCTTATATCTTCGCTCTTATTTTAACACTGGTGCAAGCTTACCGCAATTATGAAACACACGTGGTAGACTCACCAGTAAATTTCAATTATTGCCTCAAGAAGAAATAAACGTACAAACGTAATAATTTACGGAATTTTACGGACGCATGACGCATACGCAATCAACATAAAATAACTATGCTTTTCTTGCGAAGCGTGAAAAATTTAACGACAATTTTAGCAAAGAAACTTTACGCTTTTATTCTTAAGCTGTCAAAAAATATTGCGCAATATTAAAATAAGTAAGGATTTTATAATTTTTTATGTCTTTTCATAAATTCAACCATTTCCGGCGTAATTACATGTCCATACACATGAACAAGCCGATGACATCCACGGCGTGTGCATTATTTTGCATTGCGAAAAGAGAAATTCCTATATAGATCAGCTGTCAGTCTGTCCAAACGGACAGACCGAAATTAATACGAATACCATTCCCCGGGAAATAATATGAAAAAGCGGGGATGCCGACGTTTCTCTGTTCCCCGCTCACGTTAACGGCTCTATCGATCTCATTAACTGCCTGGGCACTCGCAATTTATTTTTATCGAAGGATAGAGTATATCCCGGAGAGTCGCCGTTTTCGTCCGGGCAAAAGTGGTACAAATCGGGAGCATCGCGAATCGGTGTGGAAAAACTGGGCCAATCCTCCCGGAGGGGCAAAAGTTGGGGTGGGCGCCCCCGGGGGAATCTCTCGATGGGGAGGAGGACAGAGTATGACAAAAGACGTGAGGACGAACGAGGGAAGGATTTAATAAATTTCTCCGAAGGAGTCCACTAAGTGGGGTAAATCATACGATTATTGGCCGCCTAAAGAACATTCGTCTTTCTCGTCGCGGAATTATCGAACCACGTTCCGTGTAATATGCAAGTGTGTAATCGTGATTTTATCATTAATTTATTACAAACAAAATGTGAAATAAAAAGATCGCAAATCTGCTCGTGCTTCGTACTAAAAATATATGTTGTTTAAACTTCAGATTATTATCCGAGGTGTTTTTATGATCTCATAAATATCTTTTAAATTTATTTCGTGTTTAAATCTTTTCTTTTTTTAATATTTTTGCATTAAGTAGAAATGTTGAAGGGAAGATAACTCATGAAAATTCATTAGGCATTTCTGGGAAGCGGTTTGCTTTTACATGGAAATAAACCACAGAACTTTCTCCCACTGGCAATTTGACAATAGCGCTATAAGATTCTTTATAAGCATTTCTTTACCGCAAAATCTTTCCGACACTAACTAATTAATATAGAGAAGAGCGAGCCAACGATTGTGCCGTGAATATTTACGAAAGAAAATATGTACGAAAGAAAATCCAATACAGGATAGCACAATTTATTGCTTTCAATTTTAATTAATTGAATTTTTGCATAATTAAAATTTGGAAACAAAAGATAAAAAGATCAATACAATGTGCAGCTCTCAATAACTTCAAAATCAATAAGATTGCAGCTTAAAAAACCGTGTTTCACGTAACAAAGCACTTCTCTTTATTTAATGCAATCAATACTGCGTATCTTGAAAGAAAGCGTCGAATCTCTGGGAAGGGAAAATCACAATCGAATGAGCCTAATAGGAATAGGGCGAAGGGTCCAGCAATTGGCGAATTACCTCAGTGTAGCAATCGACCACCTACGCGAACGAATTCACAAACAGCAACATTTACCAAACAAAAATGGCGCGCCAATCAATCTGTCGCGTGGTGCACGCGTGTCCTGAATAAGAAATGGCCGATTTGCACAAATTACGCGAAGACGGTTATTCAATCGAGAGATTGGGAAGAGGCCTCAGAAGAAGCGATAGAAACGGTACATCTGTCGAAGATAATCTCGATAACCTTTTTCTCGATATCTGTAAATTTAACACCTCACCATAAAAAATTCAAATGAAATTATAATTATGTATCCAGAAATGGTTAATATATTTTAAGACTTTTTTTATAAGAAAAAGTTGATGTCGAATTGGTCAAAGAAGCTGTCGAGAAAAAATAATGCAATTTAAAGACACTTTCTTGCAAAGTTTCTTGGCGATTAGATTTGTTTAACTGTCAAAAATCACATTTTCAAAATTGACTTTAAACAGCGCGAATGAAATTCGACAGACCATGCAATTCTACAATCAATTACAATTTTCTCGAAATCATTTTTTGTTACAAACTTGTCTGCGAACATTCTTTAAAGCTTTTTAAAGCAGATACTAAATTAAAAAAAAGTTTTTAAAAACTTATTTAATACATGAAATAACCGTTCTTTGTAAAAATTTTCGCGTATATTCCGAAAGCCAAGATTCATTAAAGTCTTCGTGGTATAGCAGTTACGTTGCTAAATCTTCATAGAGATCCGATCCTGCAGCACACGCAGTCATGCACGCATGATACGTGTGTAATCTCGGCAGTTTTATTACCGCTCGAACACGCTTTTCCATCGTCGAACGGATGCACCGATTGCATCGTCGACCGAGTCGAGAGAAGCGATCCTTGACCCGTTGCTCAAGGATGCTTCGGCATTCCCCGGTGTCCCTTATAAAGAATTTAACGCGAACGATTCCGCCACGACGGTGGAACGTATCTCTCGAGTCACTTTGCGCTTGGTAGATCGTTAATACGCCTCGCGAGAAAATGTAGCGCCATTGAAAAGATTCGAGAAAGTCCGCTGCAGTTTTCGCTGCTCGAACGCGCCGTTCAATTGATATCGAAGAGGCAGCAGTGCCCATTTCTTTGTGATTTCTATCTTTTTCTTTTCCCGAACCTTTATAATAGGGCGATTAATTCTACCTTCAAACGCGTTCGTTATTATCGAAGAAAAATATCGCGTCAATAATATAAGAAAGGAAATTCCGATTTGATTGTACAATATTCCGTACTTGACTTTGAATGTCTAAACAATACGATATATAAGTTATACAATCGCAGCTGCATAAAAAAGGAGCACACAAGGAGACGATGATTGACAATTTATTGGGAAAATTTACTTCGATCGCTAAAGAAACGCTAAACTGTCATAACATTGCGCTACTGAGCTGCGGAGGAAACGCTTTTACGGATTTAAAATTTATTAGCGCTACCGCTCCGATAGCTATCAGTTATTTTTCCAATAACTATCGATTGTGTAGTAGACTCGCATTGGCATGACGTTGCGCAATGTTTCCCAGTGCACGTTGCAATGTATCGACGAAACTTCAATAAAGACTAAACTTGCTTTTATTGTTTTCGTGTATTGACCGAATCCTCAATACGGATCCTCCATATTCGTACAATACGAATTATTACACAATAATACTGACCGTGCCGCGATTCGCGCTTCGACTGAAAATACATTCGAACGAAAATACGCTTTTCACTTCCGAAAAATTAAACTTTGTTCCCAAAAAATTAAACTCCGCTTCATGTTTTATAAACTTAGCACAGACCTTTCAACTTGAATCCAACAGTTTGTATAACGTTCATATAGGCGTCCCTCTGCCACATGTACTATTATTTAACATTTGCCGTTTACAAAAGAATTCGTGCGTGTTTACGAATATTGCGATTCGCACGAGAGCCGTCGTTGCCGCCGTCGCCACTCGATTTGCCTTCCGATTGCCGGCGATTGACGGCGATAATTACGCGGCGATGTTTGCACGGCTGCGAACCGTGTCAATTTCCCGTGGTGGACCACTCCACGTGTGCCGCGAGAGCCTGCCCGCGCGCGCCGAAATGCAATGTGCGTCGAGTTTTCAATCAATAATGTCACCGACAAACTCCGGAGAAAAACCAGAGACCACCGCACACGCATGTAACGCGGAACATCGAACGCGACCACGCCAACTCGTCGTTCAACTTTTTCGCCGTGAGCGCGCGACAACTCTTACCTCTTCAAACTCGCGGTTACATTCTTCGTGAAACTCTTGTAAACATCATTTCAATATGTAAAATCCGCTTTAAACGAGATCTATAATTCGTGACAGAATTCGCGATAGAAATCTATTTATATTTTATGTAATATAAAATATTTCAAAAATCGGAATATACATAATATGAAAACAGATATCGCTGATATATATATTTAGTATATGTGTATTTTAATTTTTCAAGTGTTTCCTGTACTTATAACAGCAGATAAAATTATAGATAAAAAAATCTCTC